AATATTCAACTGAAAAATATCAGTAGCGTACCAATTTTTGCAAGGATGCCAGGGGTCGCGCAATAGAATAACTTTTTATATTAAGGTATCTTCTTCATCTTTCTATAATATGCTAAAGTTAAAAATAATATTTAAAGTGTTTTTTTGAAAATTAGTGAAAACGATTTTTTCTTGAAAAATCAACAGCATGTAATAAAAAACTTGAGCTATTGTCGAGATATGTTCATATAAACTTTTCCTCGTAAAAGTAACTGAGGAATCATATCCTGGAATGTTAGCACGTCATTGAGGAATGTGATTAATATTAAATACCGAAACTACCATCTGCACCAAAACAAATAGTGCAGAGACATAACCTGAAATATGCAACCATTCCAAATGAGCGGACATAAAATAGAGGCTTTCCATGATTTATACGATTAAACAAACTTATATTGAGTGCAGAGTAGGCAATGCATGGCACACAATAACAGGATTATTGGAACTTTTTTTCAAGGCATACATCCTTTAGACTGAAGTCAACAACTACAAACCCGCTCCATTACGCGTTGCCAGGATCAGCTACAGCTTGTCCGAATATTTCCGCTCTGCCGTGAGCTTACATCAGACAACATAAAGTTATTTTTTGATCAAATATGTATAATTATTTCGGTAATCTTACAAAATCTAAAAGGGTATGGTCTTGAAATCAAAAAATGGAAATGATCACATATACATATACATATTGGTGATAGAGTAAGTTTGAAAACTACTATTGATCACACTCAATAAACAAGAAAGAAAGGTTCACGACTGACGGGCTTAGACGGGTGGTAATATACAGCGTGTTAGGGAAATACTATTCGTAACTTTAACAGGTCATTCCTTGCATTATTCTAAGCAAAAAATTTCATTATGTCCGAAAATCAATCGTTTTCGAGGAAAGTGAGTCGTAAATAATGAAACTTTCACAAACATTTGGCAACGCTGCAACGCAATCGCGTTACGAGCGCACGACGACTGCAACTGATTCACCGCATTGTTTACGTTTGTATGATATTTTTGTTGAAAATATAACTTGAATTATTGAATACGACGTTGCCAGTTGTGTGAGGGATCCTGTTTTTCGGTTTTCCTTCGGAATTGTATTTAATAAGCAAGAAAATTATTTTGTTAGTGACAGTTAATCAATTTGTAGACGTATTGATACAGTTTACGCTATTAGGCAATATGAATTTAAATTGTTAAGGTGCAAAATTAATTTATTTCATGACTAAAAAATATGTTCAGCATTTTTTTGTTCCGAAACGGTTGATTTTCGGACGCAGGTTATAATGAACTTTTTTGTTTATAATAATGCAAGGAATCACCTCTTAAAGTTACGAATATTATTTCCCTAACACCCTGTATATTTAAAGCAATATCAAAACCAATAAATCCGTTTCCGAATACATTTAACTGCAACAGTTTGAAACCTCGATTTTCGCGCGAGTTGTCAGGAAACCACATCAATGTCCGATTCATCCGTTCATTCATTAGGAACAGATAAAATCGAAAGGGAAAAAACTACACATAACACAAAGGTCTCGCAAAGCTGAACTGTCTGTCTCTGAACAAGCTGTAGCTGAGCGGTTGACCTGAGGTGAGCAGAATTACCCTGACAGCGCGTAGCTGAGCGAGTTTGAGTGTACTTGGTGGCACCGACCGTCTGTTACGCGGAGCTATTGATTTACTGGAGTATTTTCAAAAAGTGAAAGTGAACAACTGCCGTGTATCACCCACAATATGTATGTGCGTGCTCTGCGTATGTTAGTATGTTAGTCAATTTGTTTATTTATTTCGTATTTCACTGTGACCTGTAAGGAACTATATACATGGTTGTCAAAGAATTCCAAACTGCGGCAAATTTATATTTGAACTAAAAAATCGGCAACTTGGGAGAGGCTTCGTCAACGTTAATAAAGAACTGGCATCAGATTCGTGATCTTCAAAACCAATCTTCTAAGACGTACTTTCGGTTGAGATTGCAGATATGCGTAGATTCTCAATGCAAAGTTCACATTATGTCCCCCGAAGCTATAAGTGAATGAAACTCAGTCTACTGGGGTAATTTGGGATGCTGAACAAGCGGTCAAAGTCGAAAGATGTAAATATTATTAGGTTGAAATATAAGAGATCGTTAATACGGAACATTTAGCTACAGTTCAAACTACGCCATTTTGACATGATTTTGTCTGCAATTACAACAAAAAATCTTGGCGATGAGATGTGTCAGCGTATGTAACCTTGGGTACCAAGGGTAATTAGTATTTTTAGAGTTATTTTTGAAAGTTCGGGTATTTGCAGATAATTGAGATGTTAGACAATTTCAATACAGAGTACTTCTTATATAATTTGCAAAGAGCTGCACTAGCCTAATGAAGGTAGATATTTCCAACGATAAGTACACAACATAATAATATGTAGTGTGATGGTGAGCTATGGTAGTCAAATGTGTCAAAAGTATATACTAAAACTATGCAATTTTGGCGGCAAGCAATGGAATGTAAACAAATAGGCTTGGCTCCTAATCTATTCGAATTCGTTATTATTTCTAATCGGGAACCAGACATTATTGGTATAAAAAAGAGGAAGAGAAAAAAGAAGAATGACGAAGAGAAAAAGAAAGAAATATTAAGGCATTAAATTTTATACAATTTATTCAACAATAATTTTTTTGCTACATTTGGATCTTTTAGAATATGAAAATTAGTCAACCATTTCTCATTAACTTCTATACTTCGATGATGAGTATATAGGTGTATCTTCGTGTAGTCTTTTCTTTTCACGACTTTGTTACATGCCTTACATACGTAAGTAGTTCTTAAAAAGTGGGAGCAGTCTCTTGAGACATGAACGCTCAGTGAATTTTTAGTTTTGTACATTTTATTGCAGTACGGGCAAGATAAATGTGAACCTGTAAATGAAACAAATGAGAATATGTGTACGGTTTTGACGGGTAGGGTACTACTGAGCATCTACTCTAATGCTGTAGTTGGGTTCACTGCCAGAAACACCAGGAACTAGCGCTCTGTGAGACACTCATTACTGACAATAGATTTATCTGATGCTGTATATGTACAGTCTGCGAAAGGTAAAAATCGGCTTAAAAAAGGTAATATCAAAACACACTTCGGGATCTTGTGATTAAGCTGCTTAGCGACCTTAAAAAACATAATTTTCAACAGAGTTATTAGGAATTGAATATACCTATTTTTAGGACTTTTCAGTGGTTTATAACTCGAAAATGGTCAGCTGTAGATTTTTTATCAGAATGATCCAATCCAAAAAAATCCGAGCAAAAAGATATGTAATTAACTTAAAAAAACTGTTGAAACAATTTTCAGGAAAAGTGATAGAATGAACAGAATTTGGAACAAAACTGAAAATACTGAAATTTGATGATGTTTATTAATTGTCCAAATCACATTTGTACAATTTTCAGAATTTGCAATTACCAATAAAAACAATAAGGCACAGTAAGTCACAGGCAAATATATATCAAGCTTAAGTGATTAAACTATTATATATAGAACCATTATCACTAGAGCAATGAGTCGATTCTGGTTAAAACTTGCTTCTGTATATGCATCCTGATAAAATGAGTCTTCAAATTATGTTTTCTTTTGAAACTCATCGAACAAACTTCACATTTATGTTGCTTTTCCTTCCCACAATCCTGATGCATATGTGTCATCATGGTTTTTAAGTTTTTGTAAAGCCCATGGCATTGCGGACATCTTACACCTAAAATAATAGATTCACTTAGAACCAATAATAAAGTGGTTAGACTTAGCAATGAATTTCTGTCATACTACCTAAGCTACCCGAAAAATGCATCAACTTCCTGCTGGAATCGACCGATATCGGTATTTATATCGGCATATTGGCAAAATCGGCCTATTTTGCCGTTATATGAATCGGCCGTTGGGATTGCCCATATGCCGATATAGATAGGCCACCACAATAAAAAAAAATGAATGCTTAAATTCATTAAATCGCAAAAAAGTATGAAAGTATGTTTTCCAGATTTGTTTTCGTTGCTTTTATAGGACACAAGAAAGTTCCAACTATCACGATACTATATTTTTTGTCAAAATATTAACAGACGGTCGACGTTAGTTTTACGCATCTGCAACATGTTTACATACACAAAAATTAGAGGAAGTAAGGTGCAAAAGACTCAGAAGAAACTGCTTAGAAAGAGAAACTGTTGTTGTTTCATAAAGCGCAATTTCAAGTGTTTCAAGAAAGTTGGGAATATTGTTTCTTCTAAGTTCAATGTAATATTTCGAATAGTAGTTTTTAATTTTGATTTAGAGTGACCAGATTGTAAGATTTTCGTGTAGATAACAATTTTTCCGCAGCTGTTATAGGAAGAATGTAAAAAGCACTCCGAGGAAAATCTTATATTTGATAGTATCACTGCCGAATTCACGAGCAAATACTAATTTTTTGAAAGTAGCACATGAAATCGATTTCACGGAGGCTTCTCTTGTGGATCAGTCATCGTGCCTAGATATTTTGACTTGTTTAGGTCCGTTGCCAATATTATCGGCCTTCGATATATTGATATCAGATTAGCGGCCGACCTTGTTTAGAAAGTTCAGAGCGATATTGTATAACATTTATACGCAGAGACCTGTTACCTAGTTACCCAAGTTTCATTTAATAAATGATATGCTTTTAGTATAGCTCCATCTAACTTATGAACAATACCCTTTTATAGAAGTCTTACCTCTGATCTACCATTATTCGACATAGAAGTTATTGATGAACGTCTCCTTTTTCCCCAACAATTTTCTATATTGCAGAGTCTGGATGTATTATGCGGATATGCACCTTCATGTCGTATCTTCTTTTAAACATATTAAAGCATATAGGGCATCTATGCTTCTTTTCTTTGCCGCAGCTCTGAGACCTGTGAGATGCCATCGATCTCACGTTTTTATACCAACCTTTGCATCGTGGGCAAGTTACTCCTAGAACATGAACTAAATGATTCCGCTAAATAATTACTATATTCTGCCAAAGGTTATAAAAAATGAAAACATAATATAGAATGACTTGATAAAATTTTATTTATATTGTGTAGAAACACACTTTGATAGTTGCCAGCGGCTCTTTCCCATATTTTTCGGTCCTTTGCGCGCTCGAACATTTAACACAAACCAGACATCGTATTTTTTTTATTCTTGAACTACCAGAAATAGAATCTCTATTTTTATGCCTAAATTTCTCTCATATTTGTCCAATGACCCTCAATTATGGCTTCAGATTCGTGTTCAGCGGGAAAAAAATAGATGGGATAAATAGCGGGACCACCAGCACACACCACTTTTACGTTACGAAAAATGGGATCACACATTTCCTTCGGTTTGTCTGTTTGTTTGTCAGTATGTTTGTCCGCTAATCCTTGGCCCGTCTGTAACTTGGAAAGTACGGCTCGGATTTAGATCAAATTTTTCTCATACAAGGTTACTACTAAGCCAAGGACGAGAAAAAGCTTTATGGTTTTTGAAAATCTATCCAGTGGCGGTGGAGGAAAAGGACAAAAAAACGCGCGAATATAGAATTAGGTTGGCTATCTAAGAAATGATGAAATATTTGCACACCTACCGTAGTCACATGAGATAGAGCCGCTGAAGCAAGTAACCGTTGGTACGATGGCTGGGCCACCTTTTTTACATCACCAGAAAATAATCACAATATTAGATCTCCAGATTCCTATCAATATGTTATTTTCTATGCATATGTTGTACGTGAAGTTTCAGATTATACTTCCGGTAGGTCCTATGACCACAATATGGACAGTGCCACTTTGGTAACTTGCCACACTGTTCTTTCATGTGCATGTAAAGGTTCCTGTAGTGTTTGTAGCACCTGTTGCAGTTGGTGCACCTGTGACCACCTTGAAAATATATTTGAATATGCATTTATGTGAAGAGATGAAATACAAACCTGCTACTAAGTACATCTACAATGCATGGCACTAAACTCAATTCAAGGTAGATAAATCAATACAGTAGAACCCCGATTATCTGAAATAATGTGGACCCAAGTGCTTTCAGATAATCGAACTTTCGGATAAAACGGAAATAACTATTTAGAGTCATAATGCTTTTATTGAAAAAAGTAAATGCGTGTATTAAGTGAGTATATACTATAAACATGTGGATACAAACATACATATTTACGAGTATTTAGTAACAGAGGGGGTAATTAATTAATAAAATAACCGTACACGTTTTGCCACATTCTTGAGGTTAATCTCTTTTAAACTATCAACGTGGTTACAACCATTATCAACTTGATCTAAAATTTGCTCTAATAACAAACGTCTGTAATTGCGTCTTAAATTTTCTAATACTCCTTGATCCATTGGCTGAATCAGTGACGTTGCAGTAGGAGGCAAAAACATCACAAAACTTTAAATTCTCGTATACCGTGTCGTTTTTTTTTCATCTATGCAGCCAACCAACTCTGGCTGTAAAGTTATCAGGCGCCTCAATAACTGGCAATTTTTCACTTAAGTTGACTGCCTTTTGCTTCAGAATTTGTCCGAAAATTGGTATTCCACGTTCTCGATTCTGTGTAAACCACAGACATAAAGCATCATCCACTTCTTGATATTCACCTTTTTCATAGTTTTCCGTGACGGCTGCGATGATGTCAGAACACTAAACCACTTTTAAATTTTCTCGCGTTGTTTTTTCCATTCTGAAATAGTACTCACGCCCACCCCCAAATCACTTGCCACGTTTTTAAGCAAATCACCTCTACCTAAACGTCTGGTTGCCTCGAGTTTCTGTTCTATGGTAATAACAACGCATTTACGTTTATTTCTATGCTGCTTCATCTTAGCAATTATGAACCTGAGTGAAACAAACATACACGCACACATACCAGTGATAATCGGAGTTCTACTGTACTACAAAACCATACTGCTACAATTAAAACAACTTTTTCTAGTTCAGTTTTTAGAATCGGCATAGTACTTCTGGACCAGTAATTGAGATGACAGAGATTTAGTCGATTCGGGGTTAGGAAAAATTCGAATTTCAAGTAGTTCTCTTTTAATATGAGAAACCTCTGTCAGGCTTCAGATTATGTTTTTCTCTACTGCGTACGGAGGATATGATTCATTTACCCCCACTAGGCACTTCGCCCCTGGCGAATACGCGAAAAATAATTAGCTAAAGCCTGGCCTTATCGGGCATATTGGCAGCAAAATGACTCAAATAACGTATGAGTAATAATGTGTTATAATATATTTTTGTAACCTAAATATGTACATTTTGCAACATATATTTTACAAAATTCAGCCAATACAATATTAGAAAACATAAATAATACTTATCATACAAATACTGTTCCTGGCACCTACAGAAGGTTAAACTTTCAATTATATGTTCAATGATTCTAACGTGCCATCCTAACTTTTTCTACTTCCTACGCCGCTGGCGAGGAAGTATTGTAACCGCGAACAAAATCGAAAATCAGCTATTATGTTTTTTGACGTTATATGACACCTACATCACCAAAAAGCATACCACTCATTTCGTCGGTCAGTCTATCTGTCCGTCCACTAATCCTTGACCCCGCTATAACTTGGAGTAGTGTGAAGTTCGTGTCGGATTTTGATATTTTGCATACATGGTTACTACTATACCAAGGACGAACAATCTTTAGTTTTTTAAAATCGATCTAATGACGGAGGAGCTCAGTTTTGACGTTGCAGAGATCCTGATGTTTTTTGAAACAAAATTTAGGGGTAAAAATTGGGGGTTGGGGTATACTTCATTGTTTTGACGTTGGTATAATTATACTTCTCCAGCCCCGGTAGTTCTACGCACCTGATATACATATTTCACGCATCATAAATATCTTACATTTATCCTCACTTGATGGAGAAATATTTCAGACCTTCGTGTGCATGTGTGTAGCAGTCGGCCTCCGCTGCTATATTATAGATGATGAAAGATGTACACGTCAGAGCCGGATGCTCCGCTGTTCGATTTTCGTCCGCTGGCGCGCATGACGTCACGTTGAGAGCGATTCTCATTTGGGTTGATACGGATAACGTACATATTTTCTACAGGCCAAACGGCTGGACAAATGGTTGATTTTAATAAAAGATTTCTACCTTGTTATTCCTATTTCATAGGCTACAGCTCAAACGGCTTGATAGATTTTCACATATGAGGTGTCGTTGGATTCGTGTATTGCCAAATCAAATAAAATCTCTAGATGTTGAACAATTTAGCAAAGCTATTAAATGCCTCCTACTATCTGAAGCTTTTTTTGATGAAGAACAGTTCCTTAACTCCAATTTTTTCAGCCTGGCATAATTTTTATTCTAACTAGTCTCTTTTATAATTTTTTAACCAACTCTATTTATTGTTAATCTAAAGTTTAAATTTAATTTTATTAACTCTTTATTTAGCTTTTATTGCCACTTTGTGTTTTATGTTTGTCTCATTTACGTATTGTTTGTTATTTTCACTTACTCCTCGATGTTTTATATACTTTAGCTGACATTTCTATGAAACAGCAACAATAAATTATTATTACAATTATTATTATTATTTAGCGGTGTGAGTGACATACTACAGGGTGGTCCATAAGTCCTTTGAAATTTCAAATTTGAATAAAATTTAACGGGTGAGCGTGAGCGGCGCGGGCGAGGTGGGGGCAGTATCTTCAGCGTCTGGGAATTCAGTCGCCATGGATTGTTTCACTGGAGCGGATCGTGCTTTTTGTGTGCGCGCGTTTTATCAAAATAATGATTCGGCAACCATTGCGCGGCGTAAATATCGAGAATACCACAATTTACACAATTTTACAAAGTGTCCAACAGCTCAAACGATTAAGAACTGGGTTGCTAAGTTCGAAGAGACTAGTTCGACGTTAGATAAACAGCGGTGGGGCCGACCAAGGACAACTCGTATTGAAGAAAACATCAACATTGTGGCACAGTCTGTTCGTCAAAATCCTACCCAGTCTACTCGTAAGCGTTCCAGTGCACTAAACGTACCCAGAACATCTTTACAGCGGATTTTAAGGAAAGATTCACGTCTGCACGCTTACAAAATTCAGTTAGTGCAGGAATTAAAAGATAATGATGCTATTCAGAGACTAAACTTTGCGAATGAAATGTTGAATCGATTTTCTTCGCTCAATAATGTGTTGTTCTCGGACGAGGCTCACTTCCATTTAAACGGGCATGTAAATAAACAAAATTGCCGTTATTGGAGCACCGAAAATCCAAGGCGTAAGCATCAGAAGCCCTTACACAGCCCTAAAGTTACAGTTTGGGCTGCTATGGCCCTTATTTTTTTAAGGACGACAGAGGTCGCGCATTAATTGTTACTTCGGAGCGGTATGTAGCAATGATAGAAGAGTTTTTGACACCAGCGTTGCAGAATTTTCCAGGCTATAATACGCAGACCTGGTTTCAACAGGACGGAGCAACTGCCCACACCTCCAACACTTCTATGCCCGTCGTCTGTCAACTTTTTCCCAGCAAAGTAATTTCTCGAAGAGGAGACATTTCCTGGCCACCACGTAGTCCAGATTTGACCCCAATGGACTTCTTTTTATGGGGCTACCTCAAGAGTAAAGTGTACGACACCACTCCGAGATCAGTTGATGTCATGAAAGAAAATATCCGAAGAGAAATGGCAAGCATTACAGTGTTGACTTGCCGCGCAGTCATCGACAATTTTAGACGTCGTTTATATGAGTGCCATGATCGTAATGGATTGCATTTAGACGATGTGATTTTTAAAACATAATTCCCATTCAATAAAGATGATAACAAAATATAATAATTCTTCATAATGTAACTAGTTTGGTTTTATTCCTTTTTTTCCAGCTCAAAGGACTTATGGGCCACCCTGTACAATAAAATTTTATGCAGAACAAAATAGTGGATTTAAATAAAAGACTTCCTATTTCACAGGCTATAGTTTAAACGGCTTTCTAGCGCCACAATAGAGCGTCTCGTCACTTTACTGTAAAAACAAGATAACTTCATTTTTCTAAATTACCTATATTTTAGTATGTTCTGTGGAGCAGGATTAACATGCTCATGATGTTAATACTGCACTTTATTTATCGTTATTTCACAGAACATCCTAAGTACATGTAAGTGTGAAACTGTATGCAACTCGAAAAGTAGAAAAATGGAGTTATCTTCTTTTTGCAGTAAGCTGGCGGTATAACAACATCACCAACAAATCGCACTGTATAGTGTACACTGCAGTAACGTTACGACAATCCTGCTGCTGGTAACCACGAGCCGACAACTCTCCACGTGACGTCACGAAGCTCCGCCCACATGCGTAACATCCTATCTTCAGTGTCTATATATCATGTGTACACATAGTTTCGATCATGTGCGCGAGTAGAAATTTTTCTTAGTGGGAGGGGGAAGCCTTTCATCGGCAAGAGATAACTTTTTGCGAAAGCATACCTGCCTCCAGAACTTAACGAGTCCCAAAATTGTACAGAAAAGCATTCTAAATATGCGAATTTTAAGAGTGCTTGACTAACTTGAACCAATTAATTTTTTGTTACACATCATCGCAGCTAACTTTTTTCTGAAGGTGTTACTACAGCGTTGCATAGGAAGTGCAGTCAAGCACTTGACGCCATTTTTTCAAATAAATATAACTTTATATAAACAGTCATTGAAAAAATCACTTCAGGTTCCACAAATCTAATTTGGAATGTGTCCTCAAATGCGTCACCAAATTGAACTTATGCTTGAAGGTCCTATCGCAAATCTTGCATGGCCATATTCCTTCTTTGTTGCACTCATACTTCAAGTGCCTGATAAGAGAAGCATGCCACTTGTAGGATTTTCCACAGTTTTGGCAGTGGTGCAAAGCTGAAACAAAAAATGTTATGCCGCGAGTTAAGAGCAACTCTCAAGGCATGCGTTGGCATGCTCAAAATTATGTATGCAGTTCACTAAAAAAAAGTATTCACTGTTTACCGGAGTTTCGAAAATATATTAAGAATCACAATCCTAGACGTTCCTTGAGGATTAAGTATCATGCTGAAGCTGATTTTAAACAATAAATAACGCTTCCTTCTGGAACCTCCGAGGGGAGATTTAGCATTAGCATTTCACAGTAGTCATCATAGGTTTTAAAAATTTGGGAATACTTTAAAATTTTACAAATTTGCTCGATTTTCGATATCTTGAAAAATTTCAAAGCAACCCAAATTCTCAAAATTTCAATACCCACAAAATTTTCAGTATTTGAATTCAAAAATGAAGCATTTCAAAATTTTGAAAATATTGAGAGTTGAAGATTTTGAGAGTTCTAAAAAGTGCGATTATTTAAAATAATTGAAAGTTTTGGTAGTTTTGCAAATGTCGGAAATAGTGCAAATTTCCGAAATTCTAAAAATTTTCTGAATTTTGGATAGTTACCTATTTTACGGCAACTGTTACAGCCTACTATGGAATATAATAAATCCTCCGTTGAACGTTCCTCAAGGAAGCATTATTGATTATTCAAAATCCTACGCAAAATCATTTATCAGACGGCACTCAATCCTCAATGGGCATCTATAAATGTGGTCTTTTGATTTTACATTATATGACGATTGAGTAGTATTCTGCAGGTGTAAAGTATTGTAGATGCCAACACGAGCTTTCCCTAATAAAAATCTTTCAAAATAAAACATGTTCTTGAAAATGCCGATGGCATAAAGGTGTGTTCATCGGCTATTATCACTCGATATAAGAAGTTGTGAACATATCCAAAAGTGTTGGTACCTCAAGAGAATATTCCATTTTGGAAGGTTTAATATACCGGAATAGTACCACAAAAAAATGGAGAAGATAGGCGAAACATAATATACCAAAAAATGACCCTAGTAAAAGTTTCACTGTTTTTGAGACATTAATTTCTTTTGTCTTTTTCAAAAAATTTCCCTGTTTGATCATTTTTTGCTGATTAAGCAGGTAATTTATCGCAGCACTTTGCAGTAGCAGTCTAGTACATTTTTATTTGATTGCTGAATACCAAAGTTCAATAGTTTTCTAAAATAAAAATTACAAAGAAGTTTGTCAAGCTTACCTACTTGTATTTATCGAAAATGATATTTCGAATGGCAGACCAACGATCTGAGAATACTTTACAAATAAAAAGAAATACATAGATATCGTGTTATTTCTTGGCACAGCAACACAAGATAGATGCAAAAAAAGAGAGACAAAAAAATTAATATCTCAAAAACAGTGAATCTTTTAGTAGGGTCATTTTTTGGTATGTTGTAGATCCCTTCGCCTATCCTCCCTATCTTTTTGTCGTACTATTTACCGGACAGGATATAATAGCTAATGATGAACTAGAGAAAAAGAACTTTGCCCAGGGTCAAAAACATAGCATATCGTTTTTTATACTTGAGGCACCACGCAGGCAGGAGACTTAAATACCCGTAAGTACCGGCTAACGGCAACTAGATTAGTAAATATTTATTTCACACCTTTAGTATCGACTGATCTGCTAAGGTTATCTAACTAAACTGTTGATTAGCGTATTCTCCAAGAAGATATCCAACCCCATGCTGTAATTTGATGTTCACTTGCAATGTTCATCATCACAGACATATTGCTAATTATGAACGCAGTAATTCTTTATTCATATTTACTTGTTACAGTTTTGAGTTTGTGGTAAAAAATGTGATACAAAACAATAAAAACCTATAACAATGTAAGAAGTCATAAATAACCATTGGTGCCATCTGTAAAACATTGTAAAACGAATATTCAACAATAATATCTTTCTTAACGAAATATAATTATTAATCAGTTGAATTTTAACAGGTAAGTTGTTGACGTATATGGACACTTTTTGAAATATGCTATAGTTTGTTTCTGAAATAATTTTAAATTTTGATTTTTAGTGTTGTACGCGTGATATTTGGAAATAAGCATCAACGTTCTTAGCGTAGTTACTCATTACAAAATGCAAATGCAATACATATTAAGAATACCGCTTGAATTAAATATTTCTCTGCAGGAGGCAATTGACTTATAATATAGGAAAATATGCTTTACCTACTTTTGCACAAATACGAGCCCCTTCCCACTTCAGTTGGCCCAACTATTGAAATCTTAGTTTTTTCTTATTAAATACAAATAATAAAAATGTACCTGGGTATTATAGGTTTAAAATATCAACAATGAATATTTTGATAATATATAGTCGAAAACACCAACTTTATCACTCCCTAATCAAATTTGTAGCATAAAAATAACACATGTTGCAATTACAGCATATCAACCTATTTTCATTTCAATGCAAAATAAGTCTATAACGCATAGGTGGCTGTGAAAAATAAATACCATGACAATTGTTTTTATTAATCACAGCTGTCAGAATACGTTTGAAATAGGTTTAGGTAGTTAAGATTTTCAAAATGGGTAGAGGAAAGGTTATTAGTGAGAAAATTCGGTTACTGGTAATTAATTTTTTTAATTCTGGGAAATCAAACTCAGAAATTGCAACTTTGTTAGACTTATCGCGGTACAGTGTGAGAAATATTGTTAGAAGATATAACGTAACTGGTTCAGTTAATATTAAGCCACGATATGTGAAAAAGTAATATCACAAATGCCGACCGAAGAGCATTAAGAAGAATAATCGTGAAAAACAGGCGTGCCAATTATTTATAATTAAGTGCTCTGTGGAGTGACGCTGTTAGAAGGAGAATTTCGAGGTCCACAACTCATAAAGAGGCCCACAAACTGGGATTTAGCACTTGCAAGGTAAGCTTTCTTATAAAAAAAAGTGAAGTAAAAACCCTAAAGTTGCACAACTTGTTTATAGGTCTTAGAAAAGCCACTATTAACACTGCAAAAGAGAAATCGGTTTAGATGGGCTAAAGAACATAGACAATGGACACCTCATCAATGGTGTGCAATACAGTCGAGTGATGAGGCCCGATTCGAAGTTTGTGTTGGTGACAGTCGCAGTAGAGTTATTCGCAAAAAAATGAACCATTCCATGTTGACTGTCTGAAGAGAAAAGTGAAATTTCCAGCATCCATTATCTTCTGGGGCAGTATGTCATCAAAAGGAGTAGGACATACTTCATTTTATTGATGGAAATGTGTATACAAACAAATATTTGGCAATTTTAGAAGAATCGCTTTTACCAGTGATGGGAGAATTTTTGACATCCGGCCAAGATTTTGTGTTTCAGCGTGCCATACCTCAAAAAAGGCTATAAAATCGATGGAAGAAAATAATTTTCCACTTTTGAAATGGGTTTCTAGTAGTCCAGATCTGTCACCTATTGAAACTTTGTGGCACGAGATGAAAAAGGTTCTACGACAACATCCTGCTCGTACAAGCACCGAACTGAGACAAAAGCTTCAAGAAATATGGGATTGCTTTACACCAAATTTTTGCCAAAACTTGGTTAACACTATGCCCCAAAGAATTTCAGCCGTAATAAAAAATAAAGATGATGTTACCCAATGGTAATCTTTCAATTGTTGCTTTGTTAACTTCGCGCATTTATTCGCACATTGTTTATTTGTTCAGATGTTCTATTAGTTATCGGTCTAAGTGATTTCAAATATGTATTTTTTACGACTAGAGTGTATCTAAAATGTTTTTGAGAAAATAAATTGTTTTAGAAGTAAATAGTTTCGTCATGTTTAGTTTATAAAGGCATATTTTGGTACAAATCTTGAAGTGGGCCAACCGAAGTGGGAAGGGGCTCGTATTATCAATAGGTTCCTGAGAATTTAGCCTGCTATCAAAATATGCACGGTCAGATAACATGAGGTCATATATAATTCAGTTCTATATTACTTACGCGATTTATGTGAAAATGTATTACAAGAGTCTTGATAGAATTTAGGTCTAGTCATTTCTTTGGCACGAGGATGAAAATTTTGTCCTTTCAGAGAAAATTGTTTACTATTACCTTGTAGAGAGAGGAGGAGGCTAGTCTTGACTGACTAGTTAAGATGCAAAATAGGAATCTTGAAGTTGGATCCATAACGCAATCAAAATCATAAGGTTAGAAAGAAAGTGTGTTTTGATCAAGATTTCGAAAATATTTATTTTCTTATTCGAAAAATGAACTTTGAAATCTTGTTTCAGGTCAAACAATCTCAAAAACAGAGAAAAACACAAGAAAACATGAAAGTAACAACTTCACAAGTCATAATATGGAAAACTGAACATTGTTAATTCATTTACAAAGTATTTAAAACTTATTTAAGTAAAATCCATACTAAACTTAACATGGCGGTTGTTGTAGCCCACTGCCATTTATAAATTGTAACAATGATTTTTTTCCATGTGTGCCCAGTGAAGGTATTGTTTTCATGTTTTCTGATGTTTTTCTCCGTTTTGGAGATTACTTGTCATGAAACAGGATTTCAACATCCAATTTCTGAAAAAGAAAATAAAATGTTTCAGAAGCTTTATATGAATTCAGAACAAACTTTCTTTCTGGCCTTCTGATATTCAATTGCATCCTCAACTTTTCTATTTTGTATGCTTATTTTCACACAGGCAGGCTTTCAAGTGGGTTGCATATCTTCTGGTGGAATATGTTGATGAAACAATATACCATAAACCAACGATAGAAAACGCACTTCAAGAATAACAATCATTTTATTATGAATAAACCAAAATTATTTGTATAATAAAAAAATAACAATTTGTACGTCAGGTACAGTACACACTAAAGTGAATAAAATCTCGTAAAAGGCCACACATCTGTTTTTTGTGTTCAAACATCTCGAGAGAAGACTCTCTCCAAATCAAGCCCCAATCTTTCTCTGCATTTAATCACGTGTGCTTTCAATGCAAACTTGTGTTTGAAAAGTTTATTACATAATTCACAAGCATTAGTACCTTGTTTGTTACACTCTATCCTAATGTGTCTTCTCAATGAATCTGCTCTCATGTATTTCTTGAAACACTGCTGGCATTGGTACATAACTAAAACAAAATTAGTCGTCAGAAAACGGTACGAGAAAGTTAGTAGCATCTCTATAAAAGTGCCCAGTAATGAAAGTGCATTAGCTAACGTACCTTAATGAAATTGTGTATCTAATTCTATCCCTTTATTGATACTCTGATAACATTTTAAACAAAAGGAAAATATAGAGTATTGGCAAATACGAGTACATATTACACAAATAGGCTAAAGTTAACGTTAATCTTTTTTAACATTCAACTCCATGATTTATACGATGCTAACTGCATGCGATATTTCCAAAACTATGACATTGCCAATTTATGATTATTCTTGAAAGCTTACTACAACCTCCAAATGATTTTTGTGCTGTGACCCGTAAGACTTAACTTACAGGTAGAACACGCTGGTCTTTTTTTTAGTAGGATGTTACTTCATACACATATTTATTTTGTTCTTATTCAATACAGGGTGTTTTCGACAGACTTGCCAATATTTCTAGGGTAGAAAAGTACATCCAAATATAACAAATAAGATTCCTATAAATATGAGTCCAAAGATGCTCCACTACCCAGATGCAACGTCGTTTTATTTACGAAATTGAAAAAATATTATATCTACGGAGCGGGTAAAGATACTGAATTAGTATTTTAAACGTTCAGTAAGCATATTATTAGTTTACCAGCCCAAGCTGAAGCAAGGACGTATAAAGTGGTGTACCTGGAGCCCCCGAAGGAATATCTTCCACGCCACTGGCCTTTTCGGAGAAAAGAAGTGCAGTTTGTAATATATCATTCAATTTTCCATAAATTTTGTATCTTAAGGAATTTGTGTCAAATCACTCGTTTTGGAGATATTTAGGTTTGAAAATTTGAGGTGAATTCCTAAAATATGAAAAGGTTTAGCCTCCACTATTCTGAAAACACCGTAAAGCTTGATATTGGAAACACTATATCCCATGTGAAGAAAGCTGTGCCACCTCGTTACAGCATTGAATGAATAATATGCGTGTCTTATCCTCAGCGTAGAAGCTTGTCTATGCACGCCACTGGTTTACATGGTATACTTCTCATGGCACTACCCATGTTAAATCCTTCTGATTATGTAAAATCACAACTAGTAATTGTGGAACCAATCAATTTGAGTAAGTTTTTTTTTCTTCTGAAATTATCGACTTCATTTCTCAAAATTCTTCAGCATTTCGGATTAAGTGAGCTTAACGAAGAAGATATAACAAATCGTTAGCAACCTCGGACACGAAGTATGAGAATGACGTATACAAAATGCTTTCAACACTGTTCGTACTGCGCCAGGTGTTTTCTAAAGAGTCAAGGAGTCTTTGAGTGGTAAAGCATGGGCTTGTGTTCAATCCAGAGGTGGCCACTTTCAACACCTCCTGCAGGTTGAATGTGTTAGCATTTATTCAGCATTATTTTCTGTTCCCAATGTTATGTGCTCATAAATTTAGAAATAACCAAGTGAGTTGTATCGAATGTAATGTTTATTGTTGTAGGAATTAAGGCTTATTGGCTTTTTCATTTTTGAAATAAAAGTTACCTTTGTTTTGAAGTTTCTTTATCTATAAACTAAAATGAATATGCCGGCAAAACCAGTGACATGCACAAGAAAGGTTCAACGAATGGTAAGTTTATACGCTACTAATTGAAGATATTACACGCACATTATTCAAATAATGTTCATATGCCGTATAGCGTTTACAACATCAAATTAAATGGAATCTTATAAAATGCACTTTTTTCTCCGAAAAGGCCAGTGGCGTAGGAAATATTCCCTATTAGGGGTCCCGGTACCCCAGTTTTTACGTCTCTGGTTTAGTTTTGGCGGCATTTATTGCTTATGATGTGCTCGCTGAACGTCTAAAATCTTAGCGCGCTTTGTAGATAGAATTTTCGTTCAATTCCGTAAATAAAACTTCATCACCATGTATCTCAGTAGGAGGGCATCTTTGCACCCATACTTATGGGAAACTTTTTTGCTATTTTTGGATATACATTCTACCTAAGAAATATTAGTTCGTCTTTCTGAAACATCCTGTATTGTGCAGAACCATTTGGGTACCTCAACATCTCTATTTGAAACAAAATAATCTAAGAACAATTTAGTATATTCATTGCAAACAGAAACATTTCTTATTGATCTGCGTTTACTCTACACTGCTTGATGTGCTCCTTTACGTGATGTTTGTGCTTGAACTTTTTGGAGCACTTCGTACAGGGAAACTGAGCTGTCTTCTGACATTCAAACTCTAGATGCCTTTTTAACGATTGCTTCAGCTTGTATTTCCTTGGACATTGAGGACATGAATACTCAAAATATGCTGCAAGGGTATAACACAATTAGATGATAATGATTAGAGATGATTTGATCTCATATGAAGCTTGAATTATACTGGAGGTACTGAAATATTTATGGTAAACGAGTCACTGTAGCAAATAGTTTATCAAAATTTTCTTAGATTCCAGGTAGGGCCTCCTTACGTATTTTTTTAGCAGGTTGATTAGCGATTTGAAATTCGAAATGATCAAATTAATTAATTACATTTTAGCGTAGAAGTGGCGGTTATAAGTTCCAAAATGGCGGATGTGAGTCATATTGAAGCTTTTTTAAATCGATTGGAGGGTCCTGTGAAGCATCTTTTAGTACTTTATAACCCTAGAATACCAAATCACTATCTTTTATTGCATTTTTTCACAATGAATCGCGTATATCTTGACAACCATTCATCAAAACGCTATAAGTATATTGTATATATATGCGAATATGTAATAACATATGGAACATTCCATTTTAAAAGATGTCAAAATCTGTCAACTTTTTATATAGACTATTTTATTGTATATTCATAAAGACCCTTCCAAAAGAAAAAGATTGATATAATATTCTATAGCAATGAGTCAGTAGGGATTAAAAGTACAAAAACCCTCAGCTTTGACAGCCCGTCAGTCCGCCATTTTGGAAGAGTGTTAATGAAGTTATGAATTACTGAGGGAGCTCTGAAGTATAACATGAGCCCCATTCCATTTAAAGGATGTTCCAAGTTGACACCCAGCCTCTAGATTTTCAGCTGTTACATACGTTAAAATAATAATATAAATTTGATCATCCCTAATTTCAGCTTGCTAAGTTGACCCGTTCAAAAAATAAGGAAAGGGGAAAGCTTTTTTAAGAAAAATGAGAACGATGATCTATTATTTATTTTTCTTCAAAGTACTAAAAACGAACATTTATAACTATCAATAGTCACCTTACCAAACAAACAAGTATATCCCCTTTCCAAAAGATTCACATTTTCACTCGGATATTCAAAGAAGCAACTAATTAAGTAGGTTTGCATAGTTTTGTATGCTCTTTCAGATGATGCTTATGTTTGAACATCCTGTAACACTTTTCACATAGGAACTGAGCAGGTTTTTGACACTCGACTCTGAGGTGTCTCTTCAGTGAATGTTTCCATTTGTACTTTCTTGGGCACTGTGGGCATTCGAATTCAGCTGAAAAATTATTGATAAATCAACATGTGATCCAATGTAACAGGAAAAGTTCACGTAGAAGCAAGAGGAATACTTGAAAAAATATTCAAAATAAGCAAAGCTTCGACCAGCATTCAAGGATACAAGGGTTTACGATGATTTGTAGTTTTCACGATATTACTTTATTTTTTGTAAATTTACTGCATTTTTATGTAACTATTACTTTGGTAGACCTTGATCGTGAGATGTGCACCACCCCCCACAAGAGGCATTCAACCCCCCGCTCTTCAATTATAAATTCACCCTTCCAAAAAGATCCTGTCCAGTCAAACTTATTCCACTCGTTTGCTGGCAGATCCAAAACGGCATTTTTGAATGCGTCAACTGCTTCTTCTGGCCACTGGAACCTTTGACCAGGCAGTCTGTTTTCAATTTTCGGGAAAGTAAAGAAATCGTTAGGACTTAGATCGGGACTATATGGAGGAAGGTCCAATAATTCCACGTTTTCTTCCCTTAAATACTGCCTTGTTTTTTGGGCTGTGTGCGAGTTTGCATTGCCTTGGTGGAGGATGATTCTTCTTTCGGGGTTGATTTTTCGAAGCTCGGTGATGACTTTTGGCAAACAAATGGTGGTATACCAATCCGCAGTGACAGTTATTTGCTCAATAAGAGGAATTGTTGCAATATGACCCGCTTCTGACACAAATGTCGCGACCATCTTTTTCGAAACACTTCGAGAACGGATGACTTTTGTTGGCTTTTCTTCACCTTGGAACACCCAAACAGCCGACTGTCGTTTATTTTCTGGTTCATAACAGTAAATCCACGATTCATCACCACTAACAATGCTGTACACATTTTTTGAGTTTCCGGAATTGAAACGCTCAAGCGTTTTTTGACACCAATTAACCCTGGCTGCTTTCTGCTCTTCAGTCAACAGGTAGGTTATCCAACGAGAAACTAATTTTCTTACACCTAATTCTTCATGTAAAATTTGTTGAATTGAGGTCTTTGAGATCTTCAGGGACGCCTCAATCTCGCTATATGTCACATGTCTATCTTCAATGATGTGTTTGCGCACAGCATCGACGTTTTCCTGGGTGACTGCCGTTTTTGGTGCACCCACCCTGGGATCATCGTTAAGACTCACCCGTCCACGTTTGAATTCTCCATACCAACGGAAAATTGCCGACTGCTGTGTCGCTTCGTTGCCGAAAACAGACAGTAACTCAGCAAGGCATTCTTGTTGCGATAATTGTCTCTGAAAGTTGTAATAAATTATGGCGCGAAAATGTTCTCGGTTGAGTTCCATTTTTCTAATGACTTGGTGACACTTAAAAATTCACTGTAGTGAGAAAGAACACTGCACGTATTGTTGTGAAACTTTGAATTTAAGTTTACTAAAGAGTGAGGTTAAGATTCAGTACTGACGTTCGATCCGCGCGGCCTACTATGTTTCTATATGCAAAACTTAAAAGACACTCCTCGTAATAGTGTTAAAAATGTACAGTATATTACTATGTTCATTCCAGATTCATTGAAGTTAAACAACAATTATCAAGCATATACTTGACGAAACTGAGTTCCACAATTTTGAGAATGTTTGACTAAACTGTGTTTATGTTTGAACGGTTTTTTGCATTCAGAGCAATAAAATTGACTAGACTTCTGACATTCCACCCTGAGATGTCTGATTAGTGAATCTCTCCTCTTGTATGATCGGGAACAATTTGGACATGAATATTCCTTATATCCTGAAAAGTGAAGAAAAAGAGTAAGGTCAAAATTAGCATCGAATCAAAATGTTGAGATAAGGTTTATTCTATACAAAAAAGGCACATACCAGATGTTTCAAATTCGGGAATGCGGAACGGTATGAGGTACAAAGTCGGTTCAATTGTGGCAAGGTTGTGCGTTTAGGTAACTAAGAAAATAATACAGAAGGTTTCGCGATTCAGAACTTCAAACATATATGTTTACATTGCACGGTTTGTCGCAAAAATTGCGTAGTTTCAGTGACTCTTGACTCGTTTGACTACCAGGCAACGTTGTATCAACATAACATGCAGTATGTGTGATATATTTATGTGATCTCTTCATCAACTCAAAAGGGTTTCATGGCAGCAATTTAAATAGCATTTTATTTGTTATATTAATATTTGCTCATTCCCTTAAATTTGAACAAATTAGTACTGTTTTTTATTGTTATGCCAGATTTCAATCCTTTGTCCTGTAAATGGAATTATAATAATTCTATTGGGCAATAAATGCAACTTACTGGTAGAAAATTTACCTTCATTAGGCTTGCATCTCTCTATAAACTATAAAATTCAGCTCTGATACTCTCAGGCGTGCACGCCATGACAGTGGTAGCATTTCATCATAGTCGGTAGTGCTGTTTTTAAATTTGCTATGGTTAAACTCAGAAGTTCAAACAAATTCAAAATAAACCCCGCAGGGGGTATCTACTTTTGAAGCTGGAGCTTTGATCCAGTTTCAACGGAAGATACATGGGGAGCGTCGGCCCCATGGCCCCAGGCAGGGAGTTCGGGGTTTGGCAGTCTTATTCATTCTGACAAACCCTGGGCTTTACCCCCTTTCCGCTAACCCCATCCATTTTTCCTTTTATCCTATCCCTCCTAAAACCAGGGAGAAAACCTACAAAATCCGTAACCCAAGGTACTATGCGAAACCGTGCCAAGGGGTGGATGGCTCCGCGTTAGTGAGTCTCAAACGGTGCGCTCCAGGGACCAGGTGACCTCTGGTTATATATAGCCTTCTTGCAGTAAGGGAGCACTGCTGCAGGTGACCGTTGTTTCTTCACCTACTCTTGGGACCTGAATGAATAGTTCTACGGAGGCACCCGCCCTCCAAAACTAATGAGTTGGCTACTGGTGTACACAAAAGGAAAGGCTCAAAGTAAAAGGCTTTTAGAAGTAAAAAGATTTGGTGATTTCGATGCACAAGTTGTAGCACATAGGGCTCTGAACCAATCAAGATGCATAATGTATTGTAGGGACTTGTTGAACTGCTCTATAGAAGAAATTAAAGAAGAACTTTCTGAGCAAGGAGATATAGATGTCAGAAGAATAGAGGCAAGAAGAGAAGGAAGAATAATTGAGACAGCCAATCACTTCCTGCTGTTTAACAAACCAAACCTACCAAAAGAAATTTTATAAAAAACTTCAGGTGAGACTGTACAATCCTTCCCCTTTAAGATGCTTTAAATGCCAACAATTTGGGCACATGTCTGACAAATGTCAAAACACAAGCATATGTGCCAGGGGTAGACCACCACATGGAGAAGCGGAATTCAAAGAGGAGGAGGCAATCCAAAGGGTGAAGGTCACAGAAAATATATCATATGGGGAAGCCAAGAATAAATATATCTTACGCAGAAGCGGCTGCCCAGCCAACATCTAACAATATCGAGCGTTTGCTAGAAGAAGAAATATTACCAAAAATCGTTCAAGCCTTACAAAATAACCTTATTGATATGTTCCCAAGCTTAGGAAGCTTTAAGATGCCAATGGCACCATTACGACTTCCCAGAGAGCGTACGGGCTCTGTATCAACCAATGTCTCAGAATCAAAAAACAGAGATTTGAGTGAAACGACATCAGATGAGGAAGGTAGCAGTCAAAGCCCAGTGAAAAAGAAAAGAGGCATGCCTAGAAGCCAGCCTAATAAATGTGATAAACAGTTTTTTGTGATATTATATCTGTGGTATTTTTAAAGTCATTATTTGTTTTATTTTAATTTTACTACTTTTACACCTATTTGTTACGTATTTATACTCGTTAGAACTTGTCCTTTTTTACTAATTTTTAATCTTTTTTCTTGTTTAAATTCTGACCTTAGCCAAACAAATTCGGAAATCTACGTTTTTTTAGATAAATAATTATGTCCAACCAGTTAGCCGAAATTTTTTTACAATGGAACTGTAATGGCCTTAAACATAAATATGGTGAGTTAAGGTCTCTTTTAACGATACACCAGTCCTTCGGTGCATGTATTTAGGAGACGCACCTTAAGAGGGATGAGCCCTTCTCAATAAAAGGGTATAAAATTTTTCGAAAAGAAGCGGGGCAAAATTTAAGGGCTCACGGAGAAGTAGCAGTTCTGCTTAGAAGTAATATCAGCGCGCAGGAGGTTCCCCTGCAAACAGAGCTGCAAGTAATAGCTGTGATCGTAACATATCCCATACGATTAACCGTAGCGAACATATATCTGCCAAATGATAACTGGACTTCTAATGATATCAGATCTGTCATTCAACAATTGCCTACCCCGTTTCTGATCGTTGGTAATTTTAATGCACATAATCCCATATGGGGCTCAGAAGGACTCGACAATAGAGCAAGACTAAATAGAAAATATAATGGATGAGCATAACTTGGTACTTCTAATCTCTGGAGAAAATACGTATTTGAATTCACACACACAGAAATGTTCTGCTATAGACTTATCCATATGCTCCCCAGAGCTAGCCTATCAATTGCTATGGCGTACCATCAACCACGAACTACCCTCTGACCATCTACCTATACAAATACAATTCGCATCGACCTACGTAGTACGGGAACCACTAGTTAGATGGAAGATAAAAGACGCCAACGGGGAACAATACACAGAGCTATTACCATCTATTGAGCTAAATGGAAATGTAACAGAATCAGTAAACAAAGTAACAGATGCAATTACCCAAGCTGCAGACCAAACAATACCTGTTACATCTGCTACTTCGACCAAACCAAGAGTTCCATAGTGGAACTATAATATTGCTCAAGCGATGGAACAAAGAGTAGCCCTCTGACGTTTCCGGAGAAATCTCACTGACGATATGCTAAACTTCAAAAAAGCCAGAGCAAGAGCTAAAATAATAATTATTTCTAATAAAAAAATGTCTTTTGAGAGCTTTGTATCAAGCATAATACCGGACATGACATCCAAAGAGATATGGAATAAAATAAGAGCTATATCAGGCAAACGCTTTCCTATAGAACTGCCGATCCTAGTGGTGGAAGGTATAACGCTCCAGGACCCTAGTGACACCGCAGAGGCATTCGCAAAATACTTTCAGTCTGTCAGCTCATCAGAAAACTACAACGATAACTTTAATCAAATCAAACAGACTAACGAAGTTGATATGACTTTTGATGAAACGCAGATATCTGTATACAATGTTGCGTTCGCAATGGACGAGCTGGAAAGGGCACTGCAACAGGTAGATGAGAAAGCTCCTCGTCCCGATCGTATCACCTATTCTATGATAAAAAAAAACCTTTCAAACAGGGTAAAAGAGAAACTAATAGATGTCTACAACTTGATATGGAGCAATCGCGAGTACCCTGAGCAATGGAGAGAAGCATTTGGCATACCTTATTTGAAACCGAATAAAGAACCCCAACTTTTGTCCAGTTATCGTCCAATATCTTTATTACGAACTGCCTGAGCAAAATATTGGAGTCGATGGTAAAATTTAGGCTAATGTGGTATGTAGAAAGAAATGGGCTGCTGGCGACAACTCAGTTTGGTTTCCGAAAATTCAGATCAACGTCAGACTCATTAGCAGCTCTAGAAAGTACAATACAGTGCAGTTTTGCAAAGAGACAGCATTTAACTGCGATGTTCTTTGACTTGGAAAAGGCATATGATACAACCTGAAGATATGGTATATTAAAAACATTGTATAATTGGAATGTCAGGGGTAATTTATCTGAATTCATCAAGAGCTTTCTGCTAACAAGAAGAATCAGAGTCAGAATAGGTAACACGCTATCCGAACAACATTTACTTGAAAATGGAATACCTCAGGGTTTGACATTGAGAGTCACGCTCTTCGCCATAGCGATAAACCGAATTCTGGATCCCCTGGAGCCATATATAGGTAGGTCACTATTTGTTGATCTTGTTCTTTTCTATTCATCAAGAGAGTTACAAGGGATACAAAATGTATTGCAAGATGCAGGCTCTAGTGTTTGTCTTGCTGCGGAACGTAATGGATTTCGCTTCTCTGAAGATCATCCATTTTTGTCGTCTTAGATCATGCCAAAGGCAATGCCGACTTACCCTTAATGAATCACCAATAACTCAAGTGGACGAAATAAAGTTTCTGGGAGTGACTTTTGACTCCAAAAGCATACATTGCAGATCTAGTTTACAGTTGCAGGAAAGACGTAAATATAATCAGATGCTTGGGGAGCATCAAATGGGGTGCGCATAGAAACTGCCTGTTGGATCTACATAAAGCAACAATAATGTCAAAGCTAGAGTATGGCTGTCTGACTTTTGAGGGAGCAAGGAAAACAACACTTCACGCTCTAAATTAAATACGTTACCAGGGTGTAAAAGCAGATATAGAAGCCTATCGCACCAGTAGAATCAAGTCGGTTTTATGGGAAGCTGACATACCGTCATTACAAATAAGAATGAGGACAAGAATGGTGCACTACATCGCCAATGTCAAATCCCAGCCAACGCACCCTAACTACCAAATTTTCATACCTGATCAAGAAACTCGGTTACTTTTTAATAGTAGGCCAACGATTACGAGACCAGTAGGTATTAGAGCAAAAAAAGCATGCGAAATAACAGATATTACTATACCTGAGTTATACACATAAACATACCACACAACTGCACCATGGACACTTATACCAATAAAAATGCACTTAGAATGCACGAGACATGTGAAGGAAAATACTAACGCCGACCTTCATCGTCAAATTTTCCTAGAGACGTGCAACAGATACCCTGGTGCAATACACATATACACTGAAATAGAACCTAGCGTCGGTTGTGTAATCGCTGTTGAAGACACGATATACAGTTGGAAACTACATCCTACAACCTCTATATTCACGTCAGAGCTCTATACTATTTGGCAAGCCCTCCGATACATTGAGTACCGGCAAAATAACGTATTCCTGATCTGCTGCGACTCCCTAAGTGCGCTACAGGCCAAACAACAAAAATTCACCTATGATCCTTTAGCACAACAAATTCAAAAAACCTACCAATGGCTCACTGACCTTGGTAAAGATGTTACATTCATATGGGTTCCAAGCCACATAGGTATAACAGGAAATGAAATAGCCGATTGGGCGGCCAAGCAGACTACCAGCAACACAATTCTTGATGAGATACCTTCACCGCTGATGACGTAAAAGCTTATATAAATCAAACGCTTTTGTCATCATGGCAAAACGAAAGAAGCAATGCTCAGTACACTCAGCAATTACCTGGTGGGCTTACAAGAAGAGAACAGACCGTCCTAGCCAGACTACGCATAGGTCATACAAACATTACTCACAGCCACATCCTGCTAGGCTCCAGGGTTACTAGATGCCCCACGTGTGAGAGCCCGCTGTCAGTTAGCCATATCTTGTTAGACTGTCCAACACACGCACCTACAATGCGTCAGTTTCAGATCCCTGATAACCTACACGACTGCTTCAGAGAGGTCCATATCAAAAATATTCTTGGATATGTAAAATCAATAGACATGTTCTGGAAAATATGAAAAACATTAAAAATATTACGGTAAAAATACAAAATGCAAAAGCAGAGGCATTACTTATACCAACGCAGCTTTTCACAAAAATGTAAATATAAGAATTATAAAATACTTACCTTTATGGCTTCTTTTAGATATGATGATTTACCCCTGTGGTGAAAAGTAGATGTCCTGAATAAAAATTGAATGACCATTGCAGTCGACGCCGTGGGATTAAGAAAAAAAGTTCAAAATAAAAATTGTATTATGCACTTTATCGGCTTTTACACTTTTGACTATGCTTGAAGATATGTCTGGCACTTTTGGTAATGTCTAAGGAAGTCGTGTTTGTGCTTAAAATATCTTGCACACGTCGGACAAGAAAAAGTAGCAGACTTCTGACATTCTACCCTTAGATGGCGTCTCAACGAGTCCCTCCATTTGTATCTTCTGGGGCATTTTTCGCATGAATATTCTTTATACCCTGTAAAATTATTTAAGTACATCAAATTCCTTACTACATTTTTCACAGACTACTCAGCCGATTTGGATGATAAATATGACATTCTGAGGTTCTCAGTATTTTTGAGACTTTATACCGATTATAAGCACATTATTTTTTTATACAGAAGCAGCGGCGTCGGCGGAAGCCTAAACACCAAGGCTGCTATGAGGAGCTTAAAGAAACCTTGTTGATCTGATTTTTGAACTGACTACATCAATCAACCTTCATCAAGACAACGTCTAAAAAGATTATCTAAAGACTGACATATAGATTCACAAAGTAGCTAAACAGAGCAATATAATTCATATTTACTCCATTACAGCCCGCTCGTGGTCTATCATAGTATGGCTCAAATACTATTTAGTAGGTATTTTCAATTTTTTTATTCAACTTGATAGATATAAATGAATATAATAAAATTACAATTAATAATAAACATTATGCTTCTTACAATGTTTTTCTTGGTGTTTTTTTAGGTAAAAATGGTGCTTGAACAATTTGTTGCATTTCAAGCACCGATAGGTACCAGCTTTCTGACGTAATGAGTCCATCCATTTGTAGCGCTTTGGACATTGAGGACAAGGGTAGGGCAAACTAGCTTCTAAAATAAAACAAAAATATAAAACCATTTCCAATGGACATATGATATTTTGCAAGACATTGCAACTTAAAACGTTTATTCCGATTCTGAAAGCAGCATGTGTTTTTATAAGACCAACCTTATCAAGCACAGTACAAAGAAATAGACAAAGAAAATTAAAAACGAACATTTATTCTAAAATAAGGTACAGCACACAACAAATTAAACTAAGATTAATACAGTAAATATAGTTGTATAAAGAACTTTGGTGGAATAAGTCTTCAGTTGCAGATTTCGGTAACGAAAATGGCTGACTGAAATATGAATGACAGTTACAGTCCTTTTATAAATCACTACACGTATGTAGAACACGTTTCCCTAATAATACATAATACTTTAATACTCATACAAAATGACAGTCGTCTTGAGTTTGATGATACCGTCTAATTACTTACATGCAAAACTAGGTTCAGTCTCAATTATGACTAATTACTAACCATATACTAGAGGTAAAATCATTTTAATATGACTATATAGAAATACCGTGTCAAAAAAAGTAAAAAATAATGTAAAAATAATAATAATATCCTATAACATCGGAAAAATCAAATACTGATAGTTGAATATGGCAAGTCATCCACACATCACATAAAATAAGGCATAATTTCAAATTCTCCGAACAAGAAGAATAGAAATAACTAAAAAAACTATATTGAATTTTCAAGATTCTGCAGCACAGGTCTGGTCGGCAGCTCAGCTTTGATTTCTTTCATCATGGAAAAGTCTAAAACGTCTTCACCCTTGACTTCGTTCTTGCAAACTGCAAACTTGATTGAATGTCTTCCTCTTTCATGGACGCTCAAGTCATACTTATGCTTGAACTTCTTGGGACAAAACCTACATCCGTACCTTGGTTCTTGCCCACATTCAAACTTCATGTGTCTGGTCAAAGAATGACGTAGCCTGTAAGTCTTGGTGCACTTGGTACACATATACATTCCAGCAAGTGAGGTTATGTCTATGGATTCTCCCTTTTGATCGTTTTTGCCGTTGGGTAAGGTTTGATCAGCAGCAATATCTTTGAATTTCTTTTTCTTCTTAGGACGTGATTGGCGCTCGTTTTCTTTGTCTGGAGATGACTTTTGAAGATCTGTAATGTTATGTCAAACTTTAAAAATTAGAGATAAATGGAAATTTGAACCAGTGGTCCACAAGGTTACTCTCAACAGCTACTTCATACTGTATTTCTACCTGAAACTGACGGGCTACTAATACCAAAACTAAATTCACAACACTTATACTTTAGAAGTATATCTCAACCTAAATCTAACAAACTACTTATATTGAAACTGAATTATGCAATACTATACTCCAGAACTAATAAAACTTACATCTAGCTATGTTCGCATAGTTGTGTCGATATATTTTGTGCACAACTGTACAATCTGGTACCATAACGAAAGAAAGTAGCATAACACATTGTATACCACTGTTTATGCCACGAGGGTCTTTGAATAATCTGTTCCGTTTTGGTGTCTAATATAGGCAACTACCAGAACACAGTGGCAAAACTCACCGTATGCCACTGTTGGCCTGTGTCTTATTTACGTGTGCGCGCATCTCACCGTATCCAAAGATACTTCGCCTTAGCAGTGTCGTACGTGTTGCGCTAGTCTCTTCCATCTTGATACCAAACAGAATAATTCGAATCAATAAGCTTCGGTCTACTGTTTTTAATATAAAAAGTCTTCGTCCTTTACAACTAACTCGGTGCAGTAGCAAAGCCTTACAAGTTCATTTAGAAGACTCAGGGTATAGAATAGAACTGGCCGATACGACCGCCCCTTTGTCCCTAGGGCATCGAAATTGTGGAGCAAAATCTGAGGAAACTTTCTCCAGTTCTACTAACCTTAGGCAATTCAAAAGTCGGATCAACTATGTTTCTATAAGCTTCCTATAGCAGCAGCCGTGTCTGCGTATTTAGGCTTCTGCCTACGAGGCGGCTTCGGCATAAAAAAATACAGATATAAAGTTCATAATCGCAGATTAACTCTCAATTACTCCGAAGTTAACTGCCAGTTACCTCTAAAATCTGTTTTCCAATTCTGGTTCAACGTCTGCTTCTAGCTTTGTTAAATAGAGTCTAACAGTATTGTGAAAACGTTATGTTATTAATTCATCCCAAAATTTGAACAGAAGTTTTGTATGTACTCGTAATTGATATGTTTTAAATTTGTACATTGGGTCGCTTTGGAACTTTATATTTTTAAGGCGTCAAAGTATTCGCTAGGGCTTTATTTGTCACTTTACGACTAAATATCGATTTGTGGATGATCTTTTGCAGTCTTACATTTTAAAGCTGTTTTTAAAGCTTTAACTGTTATTTTGTATCATATTGAGATATGCATAAATATTTATTTTGTGGCTGTAATAGAATATATGTATCGTTTCTCCAAAGCAAAGCTTCAAAATACAAGTAAATTGATTGACTACCAGGGACAGCTTAAGATAACGCTTAGCGAGAGGTTTACTGCTGACAATTTTGCCAGGCATATAAGCGGGGGAAATGTTCTAGTATTCGACCAATAGCGAGGGGGATGACGCTGAGCAAGGTGCATAAGAACAAAAATAGACCACGGTACCAACAATAGGATTTACTCGCTAGGTTGTTCATATATCATCGATACGTATGTATATCTTCTGTAGTATGCTGATAATAAGATGAATCAATACCTTTGCTATAAAAACTTAACGCAACGCTACCCAACATGACAAAATGCTCCAAGCATTACTGTGGTAGGACGTGCAGCGAACGACTGCAGGGTTTTAGTGAGCATTTTTTGAGAATCCCGCGCTTGGAACAGGAAAAGCTTTCCTCTGTCAGAAATAATAGTAGTTGTAGTTGTAGCAGCAATAGTAGTAGTGGTAATATCAAAGAAATAAATGAGATTAAATATGACGAAACAACTGTATTTGAATGAAGTTACACATCGACATAAGTTGAATTCATTTTGTTTTCTTAGAATGTTCTGCTTTGACATGAGACGCCAACTCACTATAGGATGTGTTAGAGAAACTGCACTGAGCACATGAGTACTTGCACTTGGGCAACTGTCCTTTGCACACTTTAATATGAGACACCAAAATCCCTCTCTGGTACAGCACACCGCACTTGTGACATCTGATCGTGTCAACTGGTTTCTTAACATTGGGCCATGGTAGCTCGCATTTAAATTGTTTTTTCGGTGGTGGTTTGAGGTCACTTGTAGTCAATTTCAGGAATCGCCTCATTCTTTCATTCGCTATGTCGTTTTTGGACGATCTAAGTTTCATTTTTTCTCCAGAAGTACTCGCTACTAAAGGTGGGTTTTCTTCTATGGGTGGTCTCTGGATTTCCGGATCCTTCTTTTCCTTTTTCAATGTCACCTCACCGATAATTTTAGGGGTGTCCCGTTTAGACAGAAACATCTGTTGGCCTAGGTCTTTTTTGATTCGCTCCACTATGTCTACGTTTTTTAAGTCTTCCACCTTTAGGATTTTAACCAGTGGTTTAGTACTTGCAGGTTTTGTTGCTATTGGTGTAGTTTGAATCGTGACGACTTTAGGTGGTGGCAGTTTTCCTAAAAAATATTTGTTAGCACAGTACAATAAAACTAAATCTAGTGTAACAAAAAGTCCCTTTTCACACAAGGCACGGTATTGAGGCTTACCAAATTAAAAAGGTCAGTGTGGTCGGTTGTCCCGTACTATCCATGGCTGTCGTAACGGAAAGTTATCTTAAAGAGTTGGAAAGACTGTCACACGACAGCAACAAAATCAAAGAAAATCAAAATGTTTTTATTCAAAATATATCTGGTATTAAAAAACATGTATAATAGATATATGTAGTTAATAATATAGGTTTCTCGTGTTAACAATTTCTTAACAAAAACATAACATAACTCATCGTATATCATACATATACAATTATGAAACCTACAAAGAAAAATAAGCAAAACAAAAACTATAAAATCATTCATTATCCAGGACATAACATGATTCATCGTATATCAAAAATATACAATCATGAGACCTACACAGATAAATAAACAAAACAAAAACTACGAAAACATTCATTGTCCAGGACATCAGATACTGAAGGTAAAACTCTAAAACGATTAACAAATTCAGGCCGTTTTCATGTCACCACTCTCATAACATTCATGTAACAAGTTTGATTTATATCATTTTTTCTCATACGCCTTCTTTGCCATCAAGATAGTACAACGAAATTCCTCAAGATTCGCCTGGTGCTTCTTAACGACGTGCTTCTGCAACCTACCTATATGGAATGCAGCGTAGAAGCAATAGGGACATCTAAACAGCTTAGTCTTCTCACAATCAAACTGCTTATGAGAACGGAAGCCTGCTTGTGAAGAAAACTGTTTTTGACAGTTATTGCAGGAATACAACGTCTCGACTATCTTAGAAGTATAGACCTGCTGATTGTATATTCTCTCATTTCTTGCTATTTCTAAGGGATGCTCTTCGACTACCACTGCCTCTTCTTCGAATTCTTCTGGTTCTGATTTCACCCCTACAATTTTTTAAATGAAAAGAATATTTTTAGTATTGTGACACTCCCTCAGAAACAGTTGTTACATAAATATGCCTAAGGTGTACTGCCAGTACACCCAAGCTTTGAATTGTCGCGGTACAAAAAACGCACGATTCATAACAAGGAATTAACTTCCGAGGCGAAGAATTGAACCCGCGAGCTCAGCACGGGTATTACGTATCTTGAAAAGTGACAATTTCGTCGGTTTCGTTTGGCAGTTCGTAGGTTTTTGTGACATAATGTAGGTCAAGATGTTAACTTAGTACAAGCTGTTGTACACTTGTTGTGAACTCGTTTTATAGTATTTGCACACTAAAAACTACCTAGTCTGCAAGATGACATTACGTTGTTTTTTTTTGACGTTTTGTAGGGCGACAATTTAAAGCCCGTGTGTACCGGCAGTTAGAAACACCATTATCACTATTTATTGATAATGGTTTGATAATTTTATGATTGATTAACGAATTCCACTTCAATAGACCCAATTAAAATGGGCATTAGAGAGGCGCCAAAAAGGGACTGAGAATCCTAGGGACGTCAATGAGACAGTAGCATACCCAAACAGTCTGACTCTTTTTAAAGGAGATTTATGTTCTGCTGCTGTTTCATAGCAGGCATACTGTATTCCGTTTTAGTCGCCGCAATACAGTATGCGATTAGAAATCTTCGGTTAGAATACGTTAATCAAATAATACGGCACAAAAAATACGAGGTAAAGGAGTACATTGGAAATGAATGAATTTGCAGTATGTTGTACGATGTGATTCTTGATTAAGAATCTTCATGCGTACAAAGTTGGAGCAGTTTTCGAGCTATCCAAGAATCTAAAGACATCTGTCATAAACAACAATTGAATTCGTACCTAACGGGTACATGCACTGATCCCTTTTATGTATGTTTTAATATATACATAGGCTTCTAAGGTGAACTAAAACATGCAAGATTTTCGTGTTGTATTTTTAGAAAGAAAAGATTGAGCGATTGCATATTGAATACGAATCACGATTATATGGCATTAAATTTAGTATAATAGGTAATAATTATTCAAACACATTTCATGACTTTTTATAAATATACGAAAATGATTTGTGTAGTTAATACTTTATGAGTACGTATTGCCATCGATACACTAAATCCAATATTCATTGGAAGTGCCTCCTAAGCACATGGGTCTTCAAGTGGCTCTTCTGATATGCCGCATAATCACAGTACTGGCATCGAAACATCCTAATTTTATTACATTCGTATTTTTTGTGTCTGCATAGATTTGGTTGCTGGGAATACTGTCTTCCACACTTATCGCATCTGTAAACCTTCTTATCTAAAATCAAAAATACTTATTTGATAGTGTATTTTATTTGTCAAAGTTTATGTTAACAAGAACGGGACAGTTAATAGTAACTTCGAAGATTTTATAGTATAATATCACAAAAGAATAAACGCTCCATCAGCTAAAGGATATGTCACAAGTGATTTCAATAACATTATCTACCAAAGTAGTAAGGGTCGAATGTCGATGATTTCTTTCTTTTACTCTTCTTAATCATCAAAGCTATGAGAAACCAGAAGAGTCGATAAGAGTAATTAAGAATGCTTGTGATCTATATGTCGTTTGAGGTGACTCTTTCTAAATGCACGATACGGACAAAAAGGACAGACAAAATGTCTTTCGCCACTGCATTCCAATCTTTCATGGCGTTTCAGATTGCAGCTTAGCGTATAGCGCTTGTTGCATCTTGAGCAAACATGTTCTCCTGAAACAAAAGTTACTGATCATACAAATCCAATCATCAAATCTAACAAAACAAAATAAAGCAAAAACCATAAATAATATTTGTGATAGTGGACTTGACTCAAAGTACCCATGCCAGTTTAATGGATAAGTAAATATTGCTTAACGCAACCTCTCAACCAAATTCAAGCCCTTTTCATGTCACCTTTGTAGAGATTTGTTGGGTCTATGTTTCATAACATTCTGTTGACAATCATGCTTTATATTATTTCCTGATACTCATCTTCTCTGTTATGAAAACAGTACAACGATACTCGTCAAAAGTAAATATTGTAACCCTGAAGAGAGATGCGAATTTATCCCCACTGTTGCCATTTTTCTTTGTACAAGTTTAGTTTCTTATAAATATCTTTCTTAACCAATTTTTGTTACATCTACAGTAGTTTTAAAAATAATTTGTTTGCAGCACGAGGATTTTAACTTCACAAAATATCATAAATATCTTTCTTAACCAATGTTTGCTTCATCTACTGTAGTGTTAAAAATATTTTTTTTGCAACACGAGGATTTTAACTTCACTTTAACTGATCGCAGTAACTACTCTTATCAAAGGAAATACACAGAAACAAGTGTTATTAAAGACAATTTCCGTTAATAAGAATGCTCCTACGTTGCACATCACAGGTCTCTGTTTTTCACCGACACAGTCACACTAAATTGAAAACTTTCATCCTCTGAAAACTTTCGAGTAAGTTGTGCGATCCGATAAAAAATTCTATTATAGGGACTTCACTGCTTAAAGAAATAAATTTTGCTTAAAGGAAAATTTTTATTTGTATCCGTAAGACAAAACGACTTGGTAGGTAGCTAAATGAAACATCGCTGTATTACAAATATTTATTAAAATATATCTACCTATACCTCGAAGCTATATGTCACTTAAAATTCCAACAAAATAAGCATAAAATATACAGAAAAACAAATATACTGGTATCTATTGTTCACTGTGACTGGTATGATATGTACTTGAGGAACTGTATAAAGGTACTATATGGATATATGATTATATGTATATAAAGATCACATTTAATATCTAGATTGAGTATTGACGGTTAGGATATTGTCAGGTATGATATATTGTATGAACTCCCTTTCACCTTAAATTAATTATATCATCCATAAAATAATGTTAGAAACTGAAAATCGACAGTTCCCGTCAGCTATTTGTGTTTTGCCTGCCTTCAAGATTTAAACAGCAAATTGAGCGACTGGAAAACATCGAAATGCAGTTTTCAACATAAAAATAAAATCTAATTATTTTCAGAATAACTGCTTGAATCACTCACCCAACACTTGTCAAAAAATACCGGCAAAATTAACGTCAAAAACATATAAAGCCAAACACATAAAAAGGGAATGTACACATAAACTATTATCAAAGATAAAAATAAATACTGAGTCATTAGTGTTTCAACATTTGATGGTACAGATATTTCTGAAAATAATCCGAGTCTTTAGGGTCACATTTTAAGCTGCCAATTGAAGCGACATATAAAAATATTGCATTCGTGTAATATTGCGGAAGCACTTAAATTCTATTCACCTAAATATCTATAGTACTATCAGAACACCTTTATATTAATAAGGTGCACCTCTTACCTTTACTCCCATTGTTTATAATTTTACATTAGGTGAAGCAGTGTTTAATGCCATAGTCTTGTTTGGCAAAATAATAATTAGATGTACACTCGAACACCTTATTTTACACTCATATTTTTGAATTAGTGTACTTAAATCATGGTTAGATAGTTTCTACAGTTTGTAATAGCGTCATCGAAATTACCCGTAAGTTATTAGGTGTAACGAAGATTCTAAAGCATGAAATGCCTATTCAGTTGGCATGAATGTGTATCACCTGGTAATAGATATAACAATATAAAAAATAAATTCAAGCTTTAGTAGGTTAGTGGCCTAAAAAATGTGATATGTTCGACTATCGTGTAAGGCCGACATCATCCTACCAAAGCTTGAATCAATATTTATTTCACTTATAGCAAGCATTATTGAGGCAACATAAGGGCGAAAACACAGTGGAAGCCGATTTCCTGCGTATCGGCAACCAACGCCGATCGTCGCATTTAATCTTCCATAATAATATCATGCTCTTTAGTTGGCAATAACACAATAGAGGAAGGCTCAGGGTTGTCGGCACAGGTAGTCGGTGTTACCGGTTTTGCCGCGTCGGTTGTCATAGCAGGTTGATGTGGATAAAAGAATATAGACAAGTTAATCGCATCAGTATACAAACAATGCCCCATATGGGATGAAAAAAAAAATAAACAACATAATAACAGAAATGTAGTTGACAAATGTTGGAAAGAAATACTGAAAAAAAGCGGTCGGAGTCATCTTTCAACGACTTGAACAAATGATGATATTTACCATAATGTACCCTCTCATGATTTATGGGGTGAATACCAACTTTCTTTCTAGTGATTATTTTAGCTACAGAGCTGTCCAATGCAATAAATTCATCTTCAGATGAGCTAGACCCCATGTTGTCGCGAAGATTACGCTGGAACTGACAAGAGGCCGGTTTTATTTGCTTTTTCCCGTCAGCACTGTGTCCATGACCAGCGCCGAAATACGGTACCAATCGGCGCTGGCTGCCGGTAAGTGAAAAACTGGCTTCCACTGTGTTTTCACCTAAGAAAAGAGGCGATTTGATACGATGTTGGGTATGATCAATTCTATCTCATAAATGTATTTCATATAAATCTATCCTAAAAGTATAGGTAACATTATGTACTAATATATGAGTGTAGACTGAGTATAAAAGTTGCATACGTTTACATAAAAAAGGCACGAATACACGTACAAGGCACAGTAAACATGTTATAAAAACATAACAGTAAATTTTCCATCTATATAACATTTTTTATCACATTATCGTTATGGTATTAAATTTTAAGCATTCACATTTATTTAACAAAACAAAATAGGAACAACAAATACAACTGGTACATCAAGGAACAGATCTATGGATCTAAGCTACTACGGTTTCCTTACGGTTCAATTCATAAGTAATGTCAGACGGAAAAGTGATCTTCAGGTGGTTTAAGCAGTGCATAATGAATATTATTTAGCTCATAAAATGACAGGTTACAATTTGTGTCATAAACTATAACATTATTCTGGAAGTCTCGACTCCACAGAGTAGACTAAAACGTGTATCGTTAGTCATTCAACAGACCTTTACCGTTAGAAATCAATGAGGGATCATCCTAAGCCAATGTGAGCTTATTTTATAAACCATAAAGGTCACTTTTTCATCTAAATATATTTATAGGACACAATATCAATCTAAAACTATGCTTATATTCGTTACTAAACTAAAGATAGTTGTCGTGAAACACCTTTTTGCGTTAAGCTTATTCTACTCGGTATTTGGGAGTCAAAAAGTGCATAAAGTACACATAAAAAGTATATTTTATAACCCAATGCCATTAAATGTTATATTTCACCTACCTAGATCGACTCCCAAAATACGGCGAAGAACACGACAATTTTATTTGAGCCCTCCAACGAACACCCTATCCATCAAAAAAATATTAGTTGATCAAGACATTTGTGACAAATGCTTTAAATTTGCGTTACATTACCGTTTTTTGTTCATTTCACCTACTTTCGTTATTTATGTTCTTCCTACACAGTGATGTTTTTCAAGTTTTTACTTCAAAGAGATGTCATCTTTATATGCTATATGTATCATACTAGTTGTTTAATTTTTTGATGAAAAGTGATAGTTGTCAGGCTCTTTGCTTTCTCATCATCTTGGTAAATAATTAATTATGTTTTAATAACGTTCAATCTACGTTTTATCACAATGTGATGTCAACGCCAAAGACATGTGATGTAGTTAAAAAACTATTCTACTGACAAAAAAATATATCTGAGTTGTTGGCAGTTAAGTCACTCCTATGTCTAAAACTGATGGAGAAATTTCGTAATAAAATAGTATAAAAAGCAACAAGGAAATACTTATTTTACTATTATCCATAATACTATTGATATAGTTTGTCTTTTACTGTAGTTTAAATGATATCACAAGGGTATAGATACAATTATGTGAGAAGTAGTAGAAAGGCAGTGTTAGTTCACATTGATACAAATAATGGAACATTAGGTTTCCTACTGCAAAAAACACTTCCATCATCAAATTGTTCAGAAAATTATTACTTGTCTGTTGAAGATTTTATGTGGTAACTATATCTGAGTCAATGACGAATTTGTGTGACAGCTAGAGGTATATTTTACTAGGCGCATTCTTTTCAGTAACCCACCAAATGATCCATCGTTTCGCTATACTATTGATACAATTATTGCTGAAATGAAAAAATGGCAGTACCCATAATATCACTGGAATGTGAGGTTTTTAAAAGTTCGAGAGGAAATATAAAGAGATCTTGTAAAGTCACCATTTTAGGCAATGGAATGGATTCTCAAATCTGCAATATAAAGCTGAATCATCACATTTTTGATTCCTAAGTAGTAAAACAGCAATTTCGAAACGTATAATTTCCATAACCTATCGTAAGTGCTTTTAACACACCACAGCCTTAGAGAAAAGACTATTTTAGATTATAAGACACAATGTTACTTCTGAAAGGCACTTGATCAAAACAACGCATGCAAAGATAGATATGAAGAATATGGAGAGAGCTGAGTAGCTTATACACCGTCTTGAAGAACATAGACAAATCATACCCTGAGAAGATTTATGATTCAGAAAATTAAAATGATACTACACGTTTGAGGAAACATTTTATTTTATAAATATTACGTCATCTAGATGTGACGTCTGTTTTTCGAAGCGGATGTTTTGTTTCATATTAGCGATGTTCCTCAAGGTAAACTTTGAACTTCTGATACCCAAAGGTACAATCAATGGGAGTCAAATCTAGTGACCGCGATGGCCATGAAATATCACCAAAGCAAAGAATCGGGTTCCTATGAGGAACACATTTCGTCAAAATATTATATGCCTCAGCTTAGGCAACGCTCTGCGTGCAGGTCTCGGACGCGGATTAAGAAAGCTGGAACCTCTTCCCGTTTCCACAAAAGTTAATGTCTCGGTTGGGTGAAATTGCGTGGCCAGCACGATTACCAGAATTGGTCCCAGGGGATATTTTCCCTTAAATTTTCTGGCCTCCCAAAACTACCGAATAGCAACGTTACATTAGCGTCTAAAGTGGTTCTAAAAGAATTTAAGGAGTGGCGAAATAATAAGGACTATATATATATACAGGGTGTTCCATAATTATTGCGACAAAATGATAGGGGTTGTAGAGGGCATCAAAATGAACAATTTTGCCTTATAAACCCCTGTTCGGAAATATGCCGTTTGGGATGCAGCAAAAAAAAAAGATCAGTTTCTTGAAACAGCTTACCTACAGTAATTGCTCAAAGTGTCCTCCACCTTGCTCAATACACAGCTGTGCACGATTGTTCAATGATCGGCGAACTCTGTGGCATACCCCCGGTTTGTCCTGAACATGTGCGGACGCGGCAATCACTCTTCCCAGTAGCTCTTGTTGGTTGGGAACAGTAGTTTCGTACACTAAAGCTTTCAGATGGCCCCAGAGAAAATAATCCAGTGGGGTCAGGTCGGGTGACCGCGCAGGCCAAGGCACAGGGCCAACTCGGCCGATCCACCTATTTGTCGTCCAAATACTGCCGCACTTGTAAAGAAAAGTGGGCTGGAGCGCCATCGTGTTGAAACCACGTGTTGGCTCTTATGTTCAGTGGCACATTTTCTAATAGTTCCGGTAGCACATGCTGTAAGAATCGACCATAAGCATGCCCATCCAAACGTGGTGGAAGCAAATATGGCCCGATGATATGCTCGTCCACAATGCCGCACCAGATGTTAATTGAAAACTATGTTGGTCTCTATGGATGGCTATGGCATGAGGGTTTTCTTCATCCCAAATGTAACTGTTACGGCTATTAAAATAACCTTCCTTTGTGAAACAGGACTCGTCAGTGAACAAAACGTAGCGACCAAAGTTTGGTTGCCTCAACTCCTGCTGCAGCCACCAACGACAAAAACGTCGACGCGGCGATAGTTTTCTGGACCCATGGCTTGGACTTTTAAAAGGTGGTATGGGTGTAGTTGCTGGTCATGGAGAACCCGCCAAGCAGTAGTTTGAGACGCTCCCATTTCATGTGCAATAGCACGCACGCTTGTACGCGGATTGGCCTCTAGTTTGACGCACCACTCAGATAAATTAAATGAATCGGTGTGGAGAATTTACGATAACAGAAATGTAAACACAGCAGGCTTTTTTACAAATCGGCGAGACCATGAAATGTGCTAGACGAACATTTTGCAGCTGTTGAATTTTTTGTTTCTCTTAAGGTAAAATTAGCGGTAGTGCTCAAACGGCATATTTACGAACAGGGGTTTATAAGGCAAAATTGCATATTTTTATGCCCTCTACAACCCCTATCATTTTGTCGCAATAATTATGGAACACCCTGTATATATATATCCGTCGTTAAAACAGTTTCTGCCGAGGTGTTTGCAATGGTATTGTCCTATCCAAAACTCTCAATGCAGTTCAACTATGGTGTCTGTGATATAGCAGGTAGTGAGGAGGATGGTAAACATCCAGGTAATGAACATAGTTGACCGCAGAATACTGTTAGAAGTGTTTCTCGTGTCGCAAAACAAGCAGAGAGTTGGGTGGTGATGATATTTTGATGCTCCGCTAATGATGTAGAACGGTTACTCCAGCATATTTGGAATTTGGGATATCGTCACCTAGGTTCTAACACCACGTATCTAAAAGAATGAGATATGCATTTACTTGAAAAAGGCCACCGTTATTACAGAAACGTCGTCAGTAGATAGTACTTCAAGCATATGAGGTTCCATTTGCGGCCAGGCAATGGAGGATTATAAGATATTATGCTTGTCATTCGATAGACCCACAGTTCTGTTTGCTTAAAAAGTTGTTAGTTTTGAGTTACACGGTGTTAGAACTCATGCGACGATACGTTATTTTTATTGAACAGCTGTGGTCTTGGTGTAATTATCGGATAATATTCATTCAACGTTTTTTATGACCCATGAGTTGGCAGTACCAAAAAGAAGAAAATATGACACAAACTTGATATCTAGTTTTACATCCTCCGACAATGATCAATGGCAAAAATTTCCAAAGTGTTTTGAGTTTTATATTTTTCCAGATCCAATCATGTTTTTAAGACAATATTCCACGCTAATACAACGTCGCAATCCGGTATTTTTGGAAGCCAGATAATGTAAGAGGTTTGTGCAAGTTGGATAGCTCATTTTCGTACGTACCTCAACAGCAAAGGTTGCTTTAATACTTTGGAAATATCTTTGACTTAAAAAAGTATATATTGCAAAGAAAGCAAAATTGTATCTGCTATGGCTCAGCGCATTATGCAACATGAACAGATTCGATGGATGGGTGCCACGAAATGAAAAACACAATAAGAGCATTATTTTGTCCTAATACGTGTAGTATTTTTTTTAATTTACTTTGGAAATTTTAAATCTACTCTGATCCATCAAAGTACGTATTCTATACTATACTATAACTGAAACAGATAGCCTGAAATCAACAACATTCAGTGTATAAGGTGCCCCATAAGCAAGAATATCAGATCATAATTCACGCCGAGATAGTCAATGTCGTTCCCCTTAAGTACCAAATAGTTACCTACTGCTCGTATGATGTTAACATGTTTACATCACGCCAAAAACAAAAATTTGCCAACATAAAGACAACAGGATAATAGTAAAAATCTCTTACAGGTACTTGAAGTTCTCTTTATTGTCTTCAATGATGAAACGTTCATAAAATCAAATTGCTATATAATTTGGTCTAAAAAAATTTACCATTAACGTTTTGTATGTTTCTCAGTCAAGTTTTGTCTTTTGCTGTTTATTATAATATCGAATATACAAAAGGTTCAATATGTCAATGTAGGGCGCTCCACCTTATCATGCACAAACTTCTATAGGATCATTACGAAATGTTTGAAACACCAACCAACGACCGGAACATCGAGTTCCACGGTTTTTCTCAAACATTAAAGCCAGCGTTGATGTTGAAGAACGCAAGTGTACCGTCATAAAAATGTATATCAAGTGAACAGGCAAATCTTTTGGTATGATCCATTACTCTGTCCTGTGTTTGTACTGATAACTATTTTGGTTTAACGTAAAACGAATCTGGCTATCTCGGCCCGACCGGACCTTAAATGACGCAACCTCAATTATCCTCCTTACTGCTCTCTTCCCTTGGCTGACTATCATCATCGTCTGCCTTCATTTCCGACTTAACCCCACCTTTCACCCCGCTAAAATCAATCTCCCTGTGCATCCTTTCTAAATGCCTAGCCATATGCATCTTTTGTTTGGCCTTGTATACGCAATAAGGGCATTTGAATTGAGGCTCTTTGCCGCACTCCCACTTCTGATGGTTCCTCAGCGAGCTCTTCAGTTTGTAGGTCCTTCCACAGTCACCGCAGACGAAGCCACCTCCTGGAGTCTCCTGCGTGACTCTGGATCTGCCTCTAGAAGCGAGAGATAGGTCCAAGGAACATGGGTTCAGTGTTTGGAGCATGGATTGTTTCATGTTTTCGCGCATCAGCATCATTGGCAAGACCAAGTGAGAAGGCCAATTGTCCCAAGTGTTATCACGGTTCATAGTGTTAACTCTGAGATCTTGGGCTAAAAATGAGGTATTTTAGTAAAAGGGAATGGAGGAAGATGCAAGGTCTTATATGTACAGTAGAATGTGGGTAATCTGTATGTATGATGGCCGTTATCGTTTTATGAGAAACAATCTAACTCAAAACGATAATGATGAAGGAGATATAGCCAGGGTCACACTAACTACGCTCCAGTTTCCAGAACTGACCAAGAAAATCAGAAGAAAAACTAACCAACATTGTAAATAGAACCTCATCGAATCGTACGTAATTCTCATTATTAATACAACTTATTTCTCAAATGACTAACCGTAAGTTAAGGAACACGTTTACATTTGCAACTCAATCTCAATAAATTATTAATAACCAATCAATATGCTTTGAAATAGATTGTTTCTCATTAAGCAGACAATCTATGAGTAAGGGCGGAGAAAAGGTTTACTATTACATATATAAGTGGTTAAGTAGTAGCGTAAGCTAAATTTTGCCCAAATAAAGACCTTAATATTGTAACCTACAATATATCAATTTTACGTCTGTTAAAGCTTCCACGTTTGTCAATTCTACACTCCACTATAAATATTTTCTCAGGTCTTCTGTTTCGTCTTTTGCTTGGTGACTGGAATTTTACCTTTTAGTATTTAAAGAAATCTATGAACAAAATACGTATTACTGCTTAATGGCAGTAGATCATATTAGCAAATTATTGCTCTGAAGAGTCCTGAAATGTTTACATATTTGCTGAATCATTTCAAATAGTAGTTTTTGTCCATTCTTATTTAATTCCCAAGTCAATGCTTCTAGTTGTTAAACTTCTCGTATTTTTTACATCTTCTGTAATCTGTTAACCACTATACAGTATTAATTATTCATCGAAAATATAATCTAAGTAATTGCAAATTCGTTACCAACTTTTAAAGGTCCAGTTATACTTTTCCTATGCGATCTCAAAGGGGGAGTAAAAGGCACAAGAGGAAAAAATTAATGATATAATAAAATGGAAAACAATAACAAGCTGCGACTCAATTCAACATTATTCGTCATGGCAGCCTCATGAAGGGTCAGATTTGAGTTGCGTCCTCTGAAAACCGTCAATTTCCGCTTTGTTCAACTCAATCATGTGCATGGTCTTCATGTGGTTCCTGAAGCAATGCTTATACTTGGTTGCAAAAGAGCACTGGTTGCAGAAAAAACTGACCGTGGCACTGCACACCACTCTTTTGTGGTAGTTTAACGACACGTCGGATCTGTAGACTTTTTTGCACATGTCGCACTGATATTCACCTAAAAATTGGGTTCTGTTAGCTTGAAATATACCTTTGAAAGGTATACATTGAGCCATGTTTAGAAATTTTAAGCAATACCGGAATTTTCGATTTTCTGGATTTGTTTCAATGAGAGAAGAATACAGCGGATGAAAACCAGGTTGTTTTGATTATAAGACCCAGCCTTTTCAGTCCCCACACATTGGCAGTGAAGTGCATAGGCCTGGCTTGGGCTACTGTGTAACAATTCTCCGACGCCTAACACGTCAAAATCGATGTAGAAAGTTTAACAAGCAAAGGGTTGAAAACAGTTTCATCATTCACGTGCTAAAAGCTGTTTCAGGGATAACGAACTGACCGATTGTACTTCCGGATGTCTCTTCCTAATATGCTTCACGATTTCATTTCGTCTATAATTTTTATAATTGCAATGAGGACAACTATACTTCGGTTCCTTCCCACACTCTTGATTCACGTGCCTCAACAGATTCCTCTTAGCGTTGTACATTTTCTTGCAGTTTGTACACATGAAAGTCGTGGGTTTAGTGGAAACTATGATCGTAGCGCAGTTTTCTTTAGTGTCTCCGATTATTTCTTGTTCTAAACTGTTGATTTTTGTGATGTTTTGCATAGAAACAACGGTGTCTTCCTCTGCTAGAATTGAGTCTTGGTCTGCGTCTGTATAAATCACCTGGATTGTTGTCCAGTCTTCGGGCACTGACTCTAAGACGTTGCTAGAAGGTGGTTCTATTGCAACTGAAAAATAACCGATGTTAACGAGAAAATAGCATTACATTTCTGGTCACCAAAGTTTAATAACCGTTTGAAAAATTTTGAGGTGTTGTGACACAATTTTTGCACCACTCTGGCAGGCATGTATCTATACTAAGTGACATATAAATCCGAACACCCAGTTTAAATGGTTTTATTTTAATAAAATTTTGTATAAGTACTTAATGAAGCATAATAAGTAAATGATAAAAATTTCAAAATGATTGCACTGCTTTAAAGCCCTTTGACCTTTAATAATGTGTGGATGCACCCTGATGTGCTACGCATTCTCCAACGCGCCTAGGCATGCTTCTGATCAGGTGGTCAATGTCCTCCTGTGGTATCTCATTCCAGGCAACCACCAACTCCTCTCGAAGTGCTTCTAGAGTCTGAGGAGGACGTTGCAAATTGAGCAATCTCCTATCCATCATATCCCACACGTGCTCAATTGGGGATAAGTCGGGAGATCTTGGTGGCCATGGTAACAATGAGACATCATTATGTTGAAAGAAGTCTATTGTGATTCTTGCAACATGTGGTCGGGCATTATCTTGTTGGAAAGTTGGATCTGCCAGGGTGTCAAGATAGGGTACAAGATGGCGTTCTAGAACTTCGTGGATATAACGCTGCGCGTTCATGTTACCTCTGATGAAGATTAAAGGTGACCTGGACCCATAAGCTATAGCACCCCAAACCATAACTCCAACAGTGTGATGAACATGTCTTTCAACAAAAAACTGTGGATTCCTCATTTCACCACGTCGCCTTCTAACCCTGGCACGACCATCGTGCATGCCTAAACAAAATCGAGACTCGTCACTAAAGACAATACTGTTCCATTCCTGATCCCAGAGTGACCGTTGTCTGCACCACTCAAGGCGATTACGTCGGTGTTCTCGAGTTAAAGGGAGGACCCAGTGTGGCCGGTATGAAAACAAGCCAAAACTTCTCATTCGTCGGTGAACACTTCGCATGCCAATAGGTCTTCCGTGTTCTGCAAACCATTCATTTGCAATGGACCTGGTAGTGGAGAAACGGTCCCTTAAGGCCAATAATCTTAGGCGGCGATCTTCACGGTCTGTTGTTCTACGGCGGCGTCCAGTGCCCCTTGCTCTTTGCGTACGGCCTTCTCGAAGCCATGCCTGACAACACCTAACCACAGTGTCTACACTTCTTTGCACTCTAACTGCAATTGCCCGAAAAGAAAGTCCAGCTTCCCGAAGTCCCACTATACGGCCCCTATCAAACTCACTAAGTTGACGAAATCGTACAGGTCTCCGTACTCTAGGCATCGTAACCGATCGCAAAGGATGTCAAGAACCAAAATCCGCCAACGTTGAATCTTTACTGCGGCTGAAATATTCATTTTTAGAGCGTTAGTGAATTAAAAAAAAAGCAGTATAAAAACCGGAATGTCCAACTGATAAGGCTGAACATTTTTTCACTTGTTATTTACAGTAAGATAAATACATTCACCAACTTTTATTAAAATAAAACCATTTAAACTGGGTGTTCGGATTTATATGTCACTTAGTATATAAAGTTTGGAAGGTTTCAACATATGTTTGAGTGACGAGATTAACGAAAGAGCTTTCTTAAGGAAACAACAATAGGGGGCATAGATAAATAATATAATAGGTAAAATATTACGTTTTTTAGTAATAGCAAAACCAAGGGAAGTATTACAACTTACCACAGGGGAGGCACCAATATACCTAGAAGTTCAGCCTGAACACGCGATTTCAAAACTAATGAAGCCCTTGGAATAGAATAGAATAATAAATATTACTAAATCTTTATTTATGGCACACAATAAAACACAGTAACAAAAATCAGACTTGGAGTAGTACTTGAATACATCAATACAGTTAACGACTAGAATCAACAAACAAAAATAGACAGATCAATAAATAGATAAATAAATAAATAAATATAAAGTGTCTAAATAAGGTACGTACGTAAACGGTACTTGTAGAAAACCTTATCTAGTTCAGCGCTATTTTCATGTTAATTTGAAAATGGTATAATCAAATTAACCCTGACAGTGAGCCCAAAGAATAGGTTTTGACAATTGGGGATAATAAGCTATTATCCAGGTGGCAATCAGCTTGCTCAATTAAACCTATAACTTATGACTCTGAAATATACATACACTTATATGAATAACAAATAAAAATCACAAAAATACTGGTGCTTGTAAGACTAGGTTCGGTAAGTAAAGTAGGTAACACTATAATATATGGAGGCATTCGGTCAGTTTTATACTACAAGGCGCGTTAATATATCTTGAATTGAGATGTTGCTGCAACCTTCAAAATAAGATCAAAACTTAGCTTATACGTATTAACCGCCCCCTAGGATATAATGTATCACCTTAATTTTGGACATACACTTCTTCAAAATCTTTGGTTTAGTTTCTTAGAGAAGTAGCTAGAAACCTACTACAAGATCCTCTGTGACTTCAAATAAAATTCGTGCCCTTTGATGTGCGAGTTGAGCACGTATGCCCTTCTAGCCCTATAAGGACAGTGAGGACATTGGAACTCAGGTTCGATTCCGCATTCTTGACGAATGTGACGACTCAAGGTTTTTTTGTGATGGTAGATTTTGTTGCACTTCGGACAAGGAAAAATGTACGTGAAAGTTCCTTCTTGTTTCCTTCGAAATGCTGTAAAATCAGATATGGTTAATAAATAGGTTTATAGGAAATTGTAGGCACGCGGCAGGCGATTCAAAAACCTAACCTAAAACAAAAAAAAAAGAAAAATAAGGAGTAAAAAATAAAATGCATGTCAAACATAAAAAGCATTGCGGATAAACTAGCAATTAAAAAAGTATCATTCCATGCAATCTAAGTTGTAGTTGTATATCCACATTTCTCAGTACAAATTAACGTTTCTGCTGCATTGGTGTGGAACGACTGCGGCAATTTCATTTTTCTTGATGACACATGGTGTAAGATCCCATAACTTGGAGCTTTGTAGTTGAACCGACATAAAATATCTACATCAATAACAATTATTGTCCAAATTTTACAAATAAACATATATTTGTCTGCGACTTGGTAAAAAATGTAAGAAAGGCAATTCTAAATAAAGTACTACGATTGACAATCATTTTACCAATTGATAAATACACTATTGTAGTCACACTCATAATATTCCCATGAATAAAACGCGTTAAATGTTGAAATAATGTATTTTCTTTATATTACGTATGTACATGGATTACACACATAAGTTGAAAAAAACTTTATTTGATGGTTGTTCCATAATTCTCATTATTTTTAGCAATATGACTGTACAAACCACAAAGTATCACACAATTTCGCATTATAATTCATCACATATTTTTACAAATTGACTAGATAAAACTTACAAAAGCTAAAGTTACAGAAGTAAATAAAAAAAACAAAATTAATGATTCATCATATAAGTTTACCGTGAAAAATCACAATAATTTGTTTTTATAAACGGTAAAACCCAAGAAAAATGGTGCTTCAAGGAGTAACCCCAGTCCTGATTCGTACTTTTTAAGTCGTAAACTAGACTAGTATTCTTAGAGACATTTCAATATAATTATTACTGTACAGCCCAGTTGACTTTCACATCTGTCTCTACTGCATCTCCAGTATAATACTGGCTGTGTAACGACCTCATATGGCTTATCAGCCTATGCTTATGTGTGAACCTCTGCCCACAAACTTCACATTTATTCATCGGTGTTTTTCCGCATTCTAACCTCAAATGCCTCGCCAATGTGTATTTTCCTTTGTACATTTTCGGGCATTGAGGGCAGAAATAAATGATTTCGCTGTTTATATGGAGCTCGCTGTGTTCCAGCCCACATCTATTATGGTTTATTGATGGTTGAATCTCTGAAAAGTTAAAAATCAATGTTAAAACATTTTTTGAGGCAAACACATAGTGATATTTTTATTTTCGTGTAATTGTTCCAATCACTTATTCACTATTATCTATGGTTATTATAAATGCATTGATAGAAGTTAACCGTTTTATCGTAATTTGTAGGTATTTCATTTTCCATTCGCCATATCAAAATGTGTAAGTATTTTCTTAGACATCTGCAAAACTAAAATATTTGCGATCCGGCCAGCAATGTTACATCTCGCACAAGCAACCTTGATTTTCAGTTTTTGATGAACGCATATTTAAGTTGAAGTTTCAAAATTTAAACAAATATCAAAAGTATAAAGGCAAATTTAAAAATAAAATTTTTGGTATTTCAGGGGAAACAAAACATCACAAATGTATAGATAAGAATATAATGAAGTGTGGTTTGCGACTAAAAGTAATCAGATAAGCGAGGCGCTTGACGATGCCTGCGATCCATGCATATTCCTCATGTGCTTCCTCATGTCAAAGTTATGTTTATGCCTTGAACCGCAGATGGGACACTGAAACTCTGGTTTCTTCCCGCATTCGTACTTTTTATGTCTGGTTAAGGTAAAGATCCTCAAGTACTGCCTTCCACAACCATCACATTCATATCGAGTTGCTGAAAATCATGAGTATGAATGAATATGTTATAGGTATACTTCATCCACTAAATAGGAATAAATCATTCGCACTTCAAACCAGCTCCTTCCTACGTCGTTCTCCCCATCAATGTCTATCGATCGCGACCTAACGAATACAGCTTCCTCCCGATAAAAAGAGTTTTTCAGGAGACTTGTTGAAGCTCATAGAAATGAATACTTGGGAACGATGTTCCGGCACTGGTTAAAGGTACCGATATCAATTGTACGTTACGATTTACTAAATACCATTAATTGCCTCTAGGCATAGAAACAATAATGGGTGATGAACTTGATCAGTTTTAATATTCTTGCACCAAAGACTCTCTCAAAACAAAAAAATACGGTAATAACCATAGTCAGTAGTCTTAGTAGGCCTGACTTCATGCATGCTTCCAGGATACGAGGTTCTCGTAGATTCGGCATCAAACGTGAAATTCACATTATTTTATCTAATGCAAGTGGCAATACACTATAAGCTCTGTATTTTCGAGGTAAGTAGGGACGATTAAGAAATAAAACAATGAAATATTGATTTAAAATATAGTGTAATACATATTCTAGACACAAATAATTCTAAACTAAAGGCTTACAATGATGTTAACAAAAAAGCAAGGTACGCATGCATCAGGACAATCGTAATTTGAATGTTATTCTAAATAGAAAAGCTAAAGTGAAAAATAAATTAGTTACACACAATTTCAGATCATTCCAGTGGAGGTACCCATGATACAGGCTTGATGTTGGATATAACACGTTCAAAACAGACCATTTTAATGAGAAACGAGCTCTATAGCTCCTGTAACAAGGCCTTTATAATTGGATCATCATATGATAGATCACCGGGGTTGCAGCATTTTGTTTTTTGAAAAGCTCTATGGACCTCCACCAAACCGCGATGCTGGTCTCGAACCAGGTATCTAATACGCTAGGACCAACGTATCTCCAATCTTAGACATAAATAGTTCATAGGGTATTAGCAATAATAGTGACTAGAATAATTTACATAATATGGCAACACACTTTGTGTAGTGATCAAGCAAAAGTGACAACATTCGAATGGTAACTAATAATAAATAAAACGTTTCATCGAAACTAAAACACGAGGTAAAACTATATACAAAAATTAAAACAAAAACAATATGGCAAACCAAGTACGGTAACTAAAAATTAAAAAGTTTGTACAGCTCTAAGATAAAAAAGACTTACACTGTGGTAAACTATAATAATGATGTAAAAAACAGTGATATCGGATTACTCAAATCCATATTCGAGAAACAGTTTTATCGTTTGTTGAAAACCATTGGACTTGTTTGAAAAATATACAAATTGTATAAAAATGAGTACTATGTACGACTAATAAATATACTCAGTGGCATTAGAAGCGTTATACCCAGAAAAAAAATTATTTTGTTTTTTTCTTTTGGCAACATAAAGACTATATTTAAAGCATGCTGTGGCAATAATGCCAATGTTTTATCTTTGTTTTTGTTTACCCTTGTTAAAATGTTATCTCTTAGTTTTTGTGAAGAGTTTCTGAGAGTTGAGTAGTACAGATATTTTTAGTTATTGCCCTGTCATTTACTAGTGTTGAGCATAACAAAATGACTTGAGTTCGAAGACGTCCAAATTATCACCATATCAGGGACTGTGTCAGGGGTGGAATTATTGTCTATAGGGATGATGGTTTATCCTATGGCAGAATTGGGCGCCGTGTTAATTGAGCTACAATGACGGTAATGCGTGTGTGTCGTGTGTGGATTGAAGAAGGTAAAGGAACACGAAGAACGCCAACTGGTTCACCGAGGCGTACAACAGAGGTCAAGATAGGCGCTTCAGACAACTAGCCCTACGAGACCGTTTTGCTACTACGCGTCAGATCACTGACCAATGGTTTGTCGAAGAAGGTAGACCTGTTACTATGCGTACACTCTATCGCCGCATTCGAGCCTTTGGATTTTTTTCTTACCGTCCACGGTTAGTGATGTCCTACAAACCACTTTACTGGCGTATCTAGAGGGTCGTCCACAAGTTCTTTTTTCAGCAAGACAACGCACGTCCCCATATTGCTCATCGTACTACGGACTTTCTTCAAGAAGCAGGCGTTAATGTTTTGCCGTGGCCACTCCGTTTACTGGATTTAAATCCCATCGAACATGTGTGGGATATGATGGGAAGGAGACTGTCCACTTTGCACCATCCACCACAGACTCAGTCACAGCTAATTCACGAAGTTGCTTGGAATGAGGTGCCACAACCAGATATCGATCATCTCATTTTGTCAATGCCTAGACGTATACAGGAGTGTATTCAGCTGCGGGGTCGTCCAACATATTATTAATTTTTTTATTATCTCGTGAAAATGTTATCGTTTCATTCTTGATGTAAGAGTATCTCAATGCCAAAAAAATCAAGATGAAGAAATTATTTTTTCTGGGTGTAACACTTCTAATGTGACTGGGTATAAATAGAGATACCTAAATGGAATACACAAGATACAGTACGTTCCAAACCTAAAACGAAGAACTGAAATTATTAAATAAATACTTGTTATGTTAAAAAAACACCAAAAACGGTAACTATGGTAAAAAGCATAGAGCTTGAATTTTAAATATATTACATTCCAAATACCAGCTGCAAAGCGCCATAATTCGTAGGTCATGGGGATAGCTAGGTCAAAAAGATGATACAAATTTAATTATTTATCCATACGAATCATTTTTATTGACATCTTCCTCAAAATTGTCCGAACTGCTAGTTGAGTAAGTTGGAATTAGATCTAAAACGTCGTTTGGTTACTATCAGACTTTTCATACCAGTAAAATTTCAGACAAGCATAAAAACTAATGTCTGTCAAGAGAAAAGACAACCAAATGCAAGACTGTAAGACTTCCACAAGTTCACTTGCGAATTAATGAATCTTGAAAATGTTTCGCTATTCATGAAAGGCTGAATATTTCCCCCATGACCTAATTTTTGGTATTCGCTTACTGGTTGACTTTTAATAAATATTAAATATAATAAATAACTAAAAACTAAATATTTTGACTAGATTCATTAAATATCGAAAGTCGGAGACACACTCACGATTATCTCTTCTCCTTCTTCTTCTTCTTCTTCTATTTTTTGCCTATGTCTCAATTTCTGAATCTGCATCTCGTGAGTGTGTCTCATGTGTTTAAGCAAAATATACCCGTGCTTGAATTTCTTATGGCATATAGTGCAAGCAAATGTTGGACTTTTACCGCAATCAAACCTTATATGACGCCCCAAAGTCTTCTTCTGCAAGTAAGTTTTCTTGCATTTGGCGCAGCCGTATCTGACGTTTTCGTGGACGAAATTCTTGAGTTGAGTGTACTCCTGGAAGGTAGAGGCGTACAAGGTCACCCCTACAATCAACATCACACCATCTCAGAAGTAATTGAGAATGGACATGCAATCTGCAACTATGATACTCACACTGATGCTAGAAAACGGGATGCACTGGCACTATTGCAAAAAAAAACACCATACATTAGCAAAAAAAAAACGGTAAATCTAGCACAACACTACGCAATTGCAAAAAAAAGCTCAATGCAGTCAATACTGGACAAATATGATGGGCAGGCATTACTACGATAAGTCATTTTAAACTGAAATAGCTACATTTGTCTTATGAGCGCAAAATATTGCTGTGTCGGTCACAAGTCTCCTAACCTGCGTCACAATATTTTGAGAGGGTAACACCGTTCTTTGCACTAAATAATACAGTAACAAGATTTTTTCTACGGCCGGAGCAATTGAGACTTTTACCATAGGGCCCTTAGGTAGAGCCTTTCAATTCCACTTTCATAATTAAATAAAGTGTCATTTAAGTCTGTTTGAAACAAAATCACTTAAAGTATCCCATAGATGAACATAAAACCCAAATGTAGTACAACTATACGCTATCAGGAAAATGCAAAGAATACGTCGTTTTAGAGTAACAGTGACGTCAATTTTCATCGGTTCTCGATATCTGTTGAGTTCGAGTGGTCGATTGGGAAAAATAGATACTACTTTTCAATTTAATTGTAAAAAAAACAAAACCTATATACACCTAACTAGCTCCATAGAATTAAGCGTGGTATCTCCTAACGAATAAGTATTCCATGCTGATAATAAAATACTTACAGTTTCAGACACATATATTTCATGAATGTATAAAAATCATAAATTACAAGTACAATATTATATTCCCGACATAAAAACATTACCAAAGGCATCCAGATTGCTTTCCTAGAAGGGAAAACGGGGAGCGAATGATACATTAATAGATTGTATAAATTGTGGATGCTAAATATGAATCATCTTTATATTATTTCGAAATATATTCTCATAAAAATGTTCAACTAAGTTTATCCTCCTACATAAAAATTATATAATAAATCAGTTTCTATGAACTAACACTTTTTATATCTTAAAAATCAATAAATAAATCATTGCTAATACCGTCTGCATATTTACACCATGATCTACACTAAAGGATACACCGTTTTAACATTCGAATTATCAGATAATAATAAAATACCTAAACTGGCAATGGATAAATAGGAAATTGCGTGAAGTCATTAAGCTATCACTATAAAGAATGTATGGTAACGTATAAAGAGCGAGACGTTTTTCAATACGATTAAACATTGTATGATTTCTTAATCAATATTAGAACAATTTACACTTATTTACTCTAACATATTTCCTAGCCCGAGACTAGAGTGTTTTACAGAAATTACACATACTAACCAATAATTAAGACCATTCACATGATTTCAGTCAGAAGTGCCGCTAAATTTGCGAAACTTAAATCCACGTCGAAACGAGAAAAGCACCTTACAGGCAGACAGTATACGTTATCTCCAATTTTGCATAAAATAAAGTATTATTCTAGAACACTGACTTACTAGCTCCAAGGTAAGCACTACCTTCCGTATTATGCATTTGTTTTAATCGACTCCCTTACAGTAAACAGAATTATTGGTCAATTTTAATAGCTCCAACCACAGCCCTTTCCATATACAATACTGGAGATCTAGCTGGAATTCGGCTCTACAGTGCTTGGTTGTTCTTGCTTGGTTAACTCATCAGCCATCATAGTTCCAGAGTGATCTCTGCGCAGTTCTTGTTCAACATTCCTACCTCCAAAAAAAGCAACCTCTTGTTGTTCCTGTTTATTAATAATATTCCCCATACTTCCCATCATTCCCCCGAAATAAGTACTATGTTGCTGTTGTTGTTGTTGTTGAGGTTCTTGCTTTCCAAACTTACAAGCCATCATGTTTTGAAAATAAGAACTCGTTTCACCTAAATACGGAACCCTGTAAGCTGGATTAGGAAAAGTTGGAAGAGGTGGTAAGGAAGGATAAATGACCATATTCTCAATCTTTGGCGTAGTATTCGTCATAAGTGCCTTCAATGTCTCTTGATCAACGTTGGCGTTAACAAACTCACTCTCTTGGTGTACCACCAGATGGCGTTGTAGGTGTTGCTTCTTCTTAAACCCTTTCTTACAAACTGGGCAGAAGTACGATGGCGGCTTGCCACACTCTTCCCGTTTGTGGTTGCACAAATTAGTTTTATGTTTGTAAGATCTACCGCATTGGTCGCAAGTGTAGCGCATGGATAACAGCGAAATGTAACCTACAAAAATGATAAGTTAGTAAACTATAATCACGTTGATTTATTCTTAGCAGGTGTTTGAGTAAGAAGCATAAGCATGATGTGTATGAAATGTCAAATGTTCGATGAAAGCAGGATTGAAAGCAGTTAGTTTTTTCCACAGACTGACACTATTTCCAAACAGAACTCCACAGAATTACAGACATCCCTCCTCCAAAATTGATTAAGATCAGGACTCAGCTGTTAGTGAAAGAGAGAAAGAACATAAAGACTGACGCATAAATTCACAGCAGACTGACGAAAGTTAACGTCAAAAACACAGGGAAGAGAAAAATTGATTATACAGAGTCGATCACAAAGAAGATTATCATATTTTGTCTTAAGATCTGGAAATAATGTGTTTAGCAATTATAAAAGAAAAACAGTTATTTATTTCGATTAGTATATTAAAAAAATACAAATAAAGGCTACAAATACAATGGCACACGTGATATGGTAAAAAATATTAGTCTAATGAAATTTTTTCTATATCTAAATATATATTATACTAGGTATATACTTTGGCCACTACTGGATTGTAGATAAAGGCACTGAAGTAAAATGATCTGTATCAAAAATATATTCAGTCTTGAAAAAACTACATATGCGATTAAAGTTATTGTTGTCACAAGCCATGAAGTCAACAATGCCTATACGTGAAAATTAACCAAAATAAAAACGGATAAAACGGATAAGCACATTCTAACACAGTTCCATTCCATTGGCAAATAGAAAAGATACTACATACCTCAAAAACATAAATGAAATATTCTACTCACACATCTGTACAAAAGATAAGATACTAAAAGCGTTAATAAAACTTGGTAACATACGAAATTTAACCAAACTGTGAAAAGAGACATTTGATCCAAAAAAAGTCGGGTCTATATTATGATACAGACTCATAATTTTCTTTACTGTTCTCTACTCATAAGCCCGGGTTTTGTAATCTCAAGTTAGCTGCAACTTGACTGCTACATAGAAGTTAACTTTCAAAAAGTGTTTTTCAATGTCAAGTGTGTCCTAAAGCGGTAGTGACGAATGAAATAGCTATAAAACTGTGGTTAAACCACAATGTCTAACCAGTGACATAAGTTGTAATGGTTGACAAAGGCAGCGTTACCGCATCAACGGTTTATGGATTGTTAACCAGAACTGAAGAAATGAATGCACAAGCAACTGATGTTGAAATTGACTTACAAGTTATACTTACATAACTTGCAAGTTAACCGGCGATTGAAAAACCGAGCCCACGAATATCAATAAAAAAAACATCTGAATGCACTAAGAAGTGAGGATAAGCAGGTGGAAGAAATCGCTTTTTCACCGAAACTATCTTTGGACGCCAAGCGCTCTTTCTCATATACTAGATGAACACCAATCAAATGTGTTCTGGCCTTTCATCGATCCTTTCGAGCTTGAAATCAATTCCATGTCTATTCGACATATGCCTTGACAGATGGTACTTCCTTCGGAACATATTTGAGCAAATGTCACACTTGAATTTAGGCTCAACCCCAATACACTCTTCTTTCTGATGTCTGTATAGATGTCTTTTGTTTTTGTAGCTTTTGCTGCAAACATCACATTGGTATCTATTCTCCGGGTTTATACTGTAGTCATATTCCTTTTTAATTCTGTTCGATACAATGTTTTCGTTGTTAGCTTTGCCAAATTCATGTCTCGTAAGGCTCTTTAGGGTGATTTTATCGCTAACGGGGTCCGAGTCCCATTTTCGCATTCGGTGATAATACTCCATCATAATAGCGGGAATGGTAGGAACCATAAGGTTTTCTGGAGCGACCGGCAGCCTTGGCACTGAAATAAAAAAGAACAAAATCAACTAATAATAATAATAAGAATAGTGATGGCTGTTTAATCAAAATACATACCTAATGTTTCTACCACACTCACATCTCTAAGATGTGTCTAAAAACAAATCTACTCATGCCAATAAGAAAGTATCACAAATAACGTTTACATTTTAGGTAATGTATAGTTTTTGGGAATATGTGGCGAAAGTTAAGGAAGTTGGAAAACGGAGACTATAAGTTACACAAATTATGGTAAATATTTATAATCGGAACATTAAAATGAAAGTGTTGTCGAATTTTGATAACAAAAACTACAGCAACAGGGATTCTTAATATCAAGATTTAAAAAATACTGATGCAACACTGTACTGCAAAAATAGGTCTTGATTTTCGTCAGTTAACCAAGTAGCTGATTCCTGAGAGTCGAATACTATCGATACCAATTTCCACTAGACATTTTCCACCATATTATAAGCTATGGAATTTAAGCACAGTATTACCTACCTACTATTAAATTATCGAAGATCGTACAGCTCTTTGGCAAAATACTGAAATATCGGAACAATAACCGAAAAAAATTATACACAAATTCATACTAGCCATGAACTTATAGCAGGTTATGACAATCCAAACAAATCCGTAAACAGATGAATAGCAATTAAAACTATACAAATCCTGAAAAGATGCAGAGTAGCTGAAAACCCAACCACCATCACAAATGTTTGTGCGATTTCCTCTAAGATTCCGGAATAAGTAGCTTTCAAATATTAAAGTATTCAATATCGATTTCTTATATGTGTCAGTAGGTGTTGCTTGAGATTAGACTTTTGATGACAGGCTTTTGGGCAATACTGACAACGAAAAATAGGCTCCTTTCCACACTCGAACTTGATATGTCTGTTCAAATATATCCGCTTTGTGTAACTTCTTCCACATGGACAGGAATAGAATAATTTTCCTAGAAAAAAAGGGTCGATGAAGATATGAAAGCACATTCTATCAAGGCGTTGCTCATATTGAACGACTACTGATCGGTGACGAAACGCATACTTACTTAACTGGTAGACTGACATCTATCAATCTACCAATCAGCATCTGAGAGGTATGCAGTGGTCTTCATAGTGACAGAACTCCATGTTTCTCTGGCCAAACAAAACCGCAAACATCAGTAAATGGTAATTTCAACGTATTATATTCATAACATCTTACTGCTTTTGGCGGGTCACACGAAAGGTCTACATTCCGTGTCAGCGTCACTGCTCTCCTATTGTGAGGCTATGTTTTCTTTTTATATGAGATTTCAGGCTGATATAACAGATGATATAAATCAAAAGCATTATCAATTTGATTCAAATAAATATTTGTAACGTAAACTCTAAATAGAACGCTGACAGGGAACTAGAAAATTATAAAATTCAAGGAAGCCAAAAAGGCGTAGGAACGACTGAGGATACGACCCTAAAACTACCGGCATCACTTTTGTACATCCATCTCACTCACACATACATATGCAATCTACCTCTTATGCGCGGACTTTTTTGTGAAAGCTCAGGCTTACGTTCTTCAGTTTCGTCTTACAACCTCGAAAACATTCTCGTCAACGTATGAGTATTCTCAATCACTACCACTGTGACAACCCACTTGACCTGGGAGAACCATCTTGAGTTTACCTTCGTAATGTAAAACATAGCAGTTCCTGAAAATATAACTAAGGGGCAATATTGACAGTTTTTTCGAAAATTATTGGAGTATTTTGCGAAAGCGAATATGTGGTTTCCTTTTTACAGAGAAATATGGAGTTCTGTCTACCATAACGTTCCAGCTTTCCTGTTATCTACCAATCAGCGTCAGTCAGTTGTAAAATCTGATTGCAAATGGCTGCCCCGTCGGCAATATAATTGAATAAATTCTGTAGTTTCATTATCTATCATGAATATAATTGAATGAAGATTTATTTTGACTAGAATGATGAAATACATGGACATACTCGAAGTTTTCGTTAACAAGCATGTTTAATCTACTCGTAGTTTTGCGACTGGTCAGTTAGGTGCATCCTCATATGTTTTTTGCAGTTTGACTTCTGATGGAACAATTTACTGCAGAATTCGCAGCGAAAAGCAGGCTCCTTTCCACATTCGTATCTCATATGGCTTACTAAATGCATTTTCCTTTTGTAACTTTTGCCACAAGCGGTACATACGAACGGTCTATCTGGAAAATAGCATCCTTGAGTGCACAAATATTAGCACGCGTTTCTGCTTCGGTTAGGGCGTTTACTTTAATTGTCTACGTTTACAATGCACAAAAAGCATATATAATAGGCATGCTCTGGCAATGAATTTCTGACGGTTGTGGACAGTCAAGTCAGGTAAACAATTTACTTTGACGCATAGAGTTAATAGCCATTTTTTTGACAAGTCGTTTGGTCAAAAGAATTTTTGTTAGTTGAAAACCGTTTGAAAATCATTGATAGAACATATAGTAGACAGCATGTAGATAATATAGACAATGATGTAGACAACATGGAGAATAGATAAATGAAGTTAGGTTTATTTGCCAAAACGTTATTGAAACGGCAACCATAAAAACGATATGGTTCATTTTGTTCAAAACTGGAAGAAAATACTCCATCGAGCCATGTATTTGTAGGAAGAGGTTGTGTAATTCAGCTGCAAGCTGCTTGAAGTCGGGCAGGTACGTTAAGTTTCTAGTAACGTAACATGCGGCTATCGACGCGCAAATCTACCAATTTGATTTTTTTTAAATCAGTCAAATGTGTGAATTTATAACTATAACTGTATATATATATATATATATATATATAACGATACCACCAAGAAAATTTACTGTCGCCCAAATTATATATATATATATATATATATATATATATATATGTATATATATATATACAGGGTGACGGGAAAATAGATGCGGAGCCGGTGGGGGGAGATAGTACAAGCCAATTTGAGTCGATTGTACTGTAGGAACTACTGTCCGAAAATTAACCGTTTTCGAATTATATATTACTAATTTTTAAGATTCTATTATCGTCGTTTATAAGTTAACCAAGTCATAAAACTTGAAAATTGGGTGTATCTTTTGACTTTTTTTTTGTTTTACACTAAAAATATTCTAAAATACGAAAATTGATACTCAAATGTACATTATTGACGTTATCTCATGCAGTAACCGTCAAAATAGTGCGATTTTTGTTAAAAATTCTTCGTTCATCTCAAACGTCGCATACAAATTTTTCGTACAAAATAATTAGAAAACATCTACGTTTCATTACTTTTCAAATGAGGTATAAAAATCACAAAACGATTAAGAATTGGCAAAAATATTACTATTATAAAAGGAGAAAGGAAAAAGCAATAAAAATACTACACTTACAAAATCATACCTTAATACAGGATAATTTGTTTGAAACTACATTTCTTTATTTTTATAATACATTTTTAATATGCGCCCCCTTTTTCTAATGCACACACTTGCTCTTCTTATGATAGCTGATTTTATTACTGCCGAATTCCTAAGAGAGGCTTGAATGTCTTGTGCTGCATGTATTATCCTGTTTCTGAGGTCTTCTATTGTGGATTCGTATTTTAGAATATTTTTATTATAAAACCAGAAATAAAATCAAATGAAACACCCAATTTTCAAGTTTTATGACTTGGTTAACGTATAAAGGACATTAATTTTATAAAATCTTAAAAATTAGTATAATTCGAAAACGGCTAATTTTCGGACAGTAGTTCCTATAGTAAAATCGACTCAGATTGGCTTGTACTATCTCCCCCTACCGGCTCCGCATCTATTTTCCCGTCACCCTGTATATGTATATATATGTATGTATATATACAGGGTTATCCAAATTAAGTGTCCACCATTAGTAACTTTGTTTTAGTGAAAATACAAAGTTGTTTGAATTAGCAAACTAGTAGCATTTTTAACGCTGGTAAAAATGAGAAATAAAAAAAAACAATTGAGAGTCATTATTTTGATTTTTTTCAGTAAAATAACATTTTTTTAAATGGAAACCCCTGTATATTATATTTTTTTCTGTTAAAGCATCAAATTTTAAACAAAAAAGTTCATAATGACTTTTCCGCTAAAGTCAAAAATAAAGTCAAAATAACGATAAATATTTTTAATTATTTGCAGTATTATAATATTAAGACGGCTATGAAAACAACATGGCGTTCGCGATTTGACAGCATTAAGATAAGCGACAAATTGTTAAACTGGACATACTCGCAACTAGAAGGCTTTGGAAAACAATGATAAAATCAAATAATGTCAAACATTAGTGTAAATACTTGTTTATAAGCTTTATTGTGTCATTAATTTAAAGAAAAATGTTCTCCCATGAAGAAAAGTGTGATATGTTAGAATGCTATTTAGTGTGCAGAAAATCCTCCTTGAGAGCAAGAGAATACTACAGTGAATTATATCCCGCTCGCATTCAACCGTATGAACGATATTTTCTGAGACTTTATCGAAAATTTAGGGGCAACGAAAATGTTTTTGCTAAAACAAGGGCAAAAAAAGAATTCACAATAAGCGAGGCCACGGAAATTGCAGTTATTGGATATTTTGAAGCTTATACCAAATTTACAAGCGAAGGTACGATAACCTTGACGCGTTAAAGACTGCAGTTAGGGAAAAGATAACCCAGATAGATGGTAGGACCATACTTAAGACAGTTCGAGCAGTAGAAAAACGTGCCCAAAAATGTATTGAAGAACAAGGTGGTGTTTTCGAGCATCTTCTTTAAAAAAAATTGTTATTGTATTTTGTAAGATTATAAGTTGATGTTGAAAATAAAGTTTGTCGATACAATTTAATTGTTTCAGATTGGAGGCCATAACTTCAACAGTTTGTAACCTAGGAGAAAAGTTATTTTAAGCTTTTTTGTTTAAAATTTGATGCTTTAACAGAAAAAAATATAATATACAGGGGTTTCCATTTAAAAAAATGTTATTTTACTGAAAAAAATCAAAATAACGACTCTCAATTGTTTTTTTTTATTTCTCATTTTTACCAGCGTTAAAAATGCTACTAGTTTGCTAATTCAAACAACTTTGTATTTTCACTAATAACAAAGTTACTAATGGTGGACACTTAATTTGGATAACCCTGTATATATATATATATAGGTGAAAAATTAAAGCTTCCGCCTTTTGTTGGGTACTTCGTCGACTGGTCTAGACGACAATGACCACGTCTCAAGTTATATATATATATATATATATATATAGTGCCCGACTGCATCCAGAACGATGTGCTCTGGCTTCATACGTCAACTCCACAGGGCATCGACCTCTCCCAATAATCGCTCAAATTACTTAATAAAGATTCGTCACTATCTATAATAAAATTAAAATAAATTTGCTCCAAATCTTTTTTTCCTACATATTACCTAGCTCTTTGGTAGGATAACATTCAAATCACACTCCTTCCACAACAACATCTATCAGATTTGAAAATAACTCTGTACTTCATCGGATAACAAAACACACCCTCTTGTACTATATTACAGAACTACCTACATAGTAGGCAACACGCGTCACAGGTACGAAACGCCCAATGACCTTTCATTAACTTCAATGTCACATTTCATAGGCCGCTGTAGAATGTCAGTCAGCCGGCACATGTTGGATAATGTGGAGGTTATCCAGAAAAAATGAAATCTCGAAGGATTTTTCAATAGTTGATAATTTTTCAAGTTCTTCCAAATCAATCAGTGTTTAAAAGAATATAGCTATGATTTGCCATTTATTAATAAAATAATTCCGTCCTAATCGAACATCGGTCCAGTTTTTATTCGTCGACTATGTGTTCCCTTCATTGTCGTTTAAGAACAATTTCAGCAACAATCTCGCGGTGTATATATATACCTATATATAGATAGGTGTATATATATATAGGTATATATATAGGTGTGTGTGTGTGTGTATATATATAATATCCACTTTTCTTGGCCTAAAACATCCGTGCCCATTTCATGTACCTACCAAAAACCACGAAGAGAAATATAGATTTATTTGTAACAACGCAATGAAATATACATATAAACTATGACTTGAATTTACATAAAACGGCATGTTTTTTACAGTTAAATTTCAGGTGAAATGTCTTAGGACAATAATCACATCGAAATGACTTTTCCTTTCCACACTCATATCTTGTGTGTCTGATTAGGTGATCCTTCCTTTTATATGATCTTGGACAGTTCGGACATAGATATCTCGCTGAAACAAAGGAATGGTTCGTTGTAGATTCATAGATAGGCTTATGGTCATTGGTGAATTGGATGAATCTCATAGCAAAAAGACGACCCTTAATCTTCATAAACATTTAGGATAACTACCTGTTTTTTACGTATTTCGTGCAGTAACAGGACATACGCCAAAATTTGCAATATTCCACACAATGTACCTATCCTTAGTATATCATTGACACCAAAAGTGCGGGAGTGTGCGTTAAAAGGCATCAAAAAACTAATTTTCATTGTTGGAGCTACATTGGCGATACAGTTGGTCTACTATGGTGTATTTATACAAAACCTGCAGGGATAGATATTTACACAGAATCCAAATATTTTTGTTGGTTTCAGCTGATCCAATGTTATTCAGAAAGAAAAAGACAAAAATTAATTGATCTCGTGCGAGATTGGACTTGCGATTGTTTTACAAGTAAAGTGAGACAGTCCAACAGAAAAAAGGCTGCTCACTTCAGAATTCAAAAAAAATAGCCAAGTTAACCGTGATCAGAGCATAACCTAAAAAATTACCTTTTGCAAATAAACAAATTAGGACAAATCTCAGTCAAGCTAAGTTGGTCCGTTGGTAGTGCAGGTAAGGAAATATTACCTCATTCAAACCGAGTTTCGCTAAAAAGAACCTGCAATACACTGAACAAACAGAAAGTTAGGTGAACATATCTAAAATTATATGTATAACGAACGCACCTCTATTTTCAAAGATATAATAATATAATAATATTAACGGAATTACATCCGCAACGTACAGTATCGACATTGGAGCAGCACAAGGCTCAGTTTTAGCACCCCTTGTATTCATTCTATATATAAATGATTTGCATCTCTCTGGATTTGTAACAAATTATGCGGATGATACGTCAGTTCTTGTAAGTGGAACTACATGCAATGACATTATTGCAAAAATACATGGAGTAAAAGGTGAAAT